TGTATAACTGTCTAACCTCTCACCTACCCTGTGTCTATCATGGGTTATCCTTCTGAGAGTATACAATCTAGCTCATAACATCACTTGCATAGTAGGCTTTTTCAGAACTACAAGGTAATATTCCATAAAATCAAGCTTTAAGGCATTACTATGCAATTAATACTATCACCATATGTTTGCTTAAAAGTAAGTTCTTCTTATATGCAATTATTGTATTTGTGTAAGACTGCAGCCTTACTTTTCATTCATATAAATTAAAGGTTATTTTTGCAAATAGTCAAGCTATGTGTTCCTACTTATTTTGATTAGTCTCTAAATTCTAGCCTCATATGAACCCATCTTCTCTAAGTATCTAATCATTGCAGAGATTTTCAAACTTTGAATACCATGACAATTGCTGGCATGAATGGCAGATTATTTTAAAAGATAGCTACCGGTAGATTTAGATGCCATCTTTCAAAATACACTTGCTGCTTGGATTATACAAGCATGGTTTACTCTTTGACCTATACAACAATTATGCTATAGCTTATCTAGGAAAGCAGAAATCAGTTTTGTGTTCCTACAGTGCATGTACCTGGACACTGATTTTAAAATATTAACCCTTCTAAATTAGTTGCAACTCCCATCTTGAGAGTCCTTAGTTAATATATTTAGGTTCATTATCAGTCCTAATTTAGATTTCACATCAAACCTATAAGGCAAATAAGTTCACAGAGACCTTGCCTTGTGCCAAATAGATCAACAATCAACCACAACAATCTGTTCAATCCAGAAAATCTGGGACCTGAAAGGTCACCTAATTTAGCTGTATAAATCACTCCAGAAAACTACAAGTATCTATATAGAAGAAGAGGAGCTAACTTTATCACTTCTTTGCCTAGAGACCTTGGCAACATAAAAATGGTCTCCAAATCTATGCTTATTCTTAAGCTTAAGAAACTAGTAGTATTAAGAAGCATAGGCAGAGTTAATAGAAATTATTTAACATGGGACAATTTTAAAAAAAATTATAGAATCTTAGAAAACTGAAAGAGGAGATGAAATAAAGATCTTTTATAACATTATACTCCTCTCAATTATATCTCTTTAGCCTCATTAAAAAGAAACAGAGACAAGATTCTTTTCCATATCATAATTACAGATCTTAAGCCCCTCATCAAATAACTACTTTCTTTGTGACTTACCAAAAGATCCCTGCCAAAACTGGGAGTACTGCCACAATAACAAAATGTGAAGCTATTTTCACTAACTTTACATACAGTATAGCCTATACTTCATTCATCTGTAAGACTATTAATGTATTTTCATGTCAATGTTCATCATTCCTTTAGGGATATTTATATTAGCTTTTTTACCAAGCTTACATATGGCTCCAAACATAGTGGCCTCTCAGTAACTTATACATGGTTATAAGCTAAAAACAGGACAACATAATTGCAAAAGTTCTCAGCATCAAGAAATAACTGTAACTATTAGATATTTCAAAGAATAATTTTCCCAAAGAATCTACAAAAATAAGACAGGAAAGATACAGCCTCTAATTCTGCAACAAATAATAAAGATAAAGGGATCTACTACATCCCTTAAATGTAACAGAAAATGTGTAAGCAGATGTAAACTTCTCTGCTACTGCCAGGAAAATATTTAGTGAAGGTACATGTCTTTATCCATCAGGACCTGAGTTCCATTCTTCTCAAAAAGATTTTCACTGTAAGAGGTAGGGTCAAGAGGTCCTTGAATAAACGTTTGTGAGGAAATGATAAACTGGCCTCTATTAAAAAAAAAAAAAGACTGCTTCCTTGCTGTAGTAGGGTGTACAATCCTAAAGTCCAATTGCCCAGCAAAGGATGTTTTCAACAGCAAAGAAAACCTGAAGTAACGCTACCAAAACAACACAAAGGAATTCTGCTCTGCTTTGAATCTGCAGTTGAATATCAGCCTATATACTATTTACTGAGACTAAAAGAGGCTCTCTAGAGATTCAGTTAGGTATTTTCTAAAACGGTGGTATAAGGGATTTTGTGTTTTTTTTTAAAAAAAACAGGAGTTTACCAAGGGATTGAACTTGTACATAGAAAAGATGTGCCTATTACTAAGCTATAATTTTTAGCGAGAACACTTGTTCTAATTATTTAAAATTCTTTGTATAAACACTGAATAATTACTCCCAGTGATGGTTACAACTATTATACCTTTGGGATGGAAAGGATATAGCGACAGAGATTAATTTTAGGTTTATTTTCTTTGGCTTGTCTTAGCAACCCAAAGACTTTTATTTTATGCAACCTTTAAAACAGAATATGAAATAAAGAAGAAGACTTCAACAATCACAGATAAAACTTATATAAAGTTAGAAACAAAATAAATATAATTATTAAATATAAATAAGTTTCAGTGAGTTGAGTAAGGCTTATTTCCATGTAACCTTGATTTTCTTGTTGCATATAGTTATGAATTCTTTATCTATGTTAATTTGTTAAAACATGAACCTTTGATATCTATGATTGGGTCAATATTAAAAAGTAAGGATCTGAAGATGCAGAGCACAAGATTTAAAAAAACAAATCTTAACAATTCGCATTTTTTTTAACTGGATTATAATCTTAATTATTCCAAATCTCAAGCTATTTTTTAAATTTAGATCTTGCATGATCTGAGAGTTTTACAACACTCCACAAAAATTTTAAATTTGTTATTCACCATTAAGATACTGCAAACACCATGTCTGCAGAACAATGGTAACAACAATCTTGGCATCTATAGTCACTTATTGACAATTGAATTATCTGGCTTAGAAGCAAATGATCAAAGATGATCAGAAGAAACATTAGCTTCTTGCAGGGTAAAAGATAAAACAAAAAAAGGCCTTTATTAATATTATGCTGTAGTAAGATTACCTAGCTTTAATACAACAGCATACATGAACACAAATCTCAAAACTGACAGTACTAACTAACTACTTAGCTTTCTGGGCATCTCCAATATCAGTGAAGTCATAGATCATTTTTTGAGATCTCAATATTGGGAGTGTCAAGTATCAAACGTACTTTCTCTTTGTAAACCAAATTTTCCTTTGTGTAACTGTGCAGAAATAGTCTAAAGCCCCACTCAATTCAACGAAGTATACTTTAAAATATAGTCTTCAACCTATAATCACTTATTTAGTAACCATTCAAAGTTACGACAACACTAAAAAAATGACATTATCTTTTTCACACTTATGACCACTGCAGCATCCCCATGGTCACATGATCAAAAATTGGACTCTTGGCAACTGGCATGTATTTATGTTGGTTGCAGTTTCCTAGGGTCATATAATTACCTTTTGCAAACTTCTGACAAGCAAAGTCAATGAGGAAGCCAGATTCACTTAACAACCATTACTAACTTAACAATTGCAGTGATTCACTTAACAACTCTGGCAGAAAAGGTTGTAAAATGAGGCAAAACTCAACTGACTTGCTTAGCAACAGAAATTTTGGGTTCAGTTGTGGTCAAAAGTTGAGGACTACCTGTACACGTGCATAGGATTATACTAATGTTTCATACTATTCTGACTATTCTGACATAGAAAACCTTATTCCTTAACTCTGAAAAACACTGATTCAAATTTTCTATAACAAAGATTACTAATAATAACATCTAGTAGCAACAGTTTTAAAGCTGGCTATGTATCTTGTCTTTTTTTGCCCATTAAAGGGCTGCTTAGGTCCACAGACCCAAAAAATGAGTGGTAGGACAAAAACAAAATGTGGCACCAAGAAAAAAAGGTTTAAACCAAATTACAATTAAATGAATTAAATGTTTTATTAAATTTATATGTCCATCTCACTATCAAGTAACTGTGAGCAGCTGTTACCTAACTATTCCAATTAATTTCTTTTTGTTACAAAAATATAAAAAATAAACAATTCAGACCTTTGGGACTGTATCCAAGAATGGGAGGAACACATACCCAGCTGTACCACCCAAAGGGAAAAAGGAGCAGAGATTCTAAAGAACATGTTTTTTCATGTTTGCGGAACATGAAAAGATAAACATTGTAATCTAAGTGTTTTTAAAACAGGAGATATGTGTTTGTTTTCATCCAGCTTTGTACTGATGCTATTTGCAGAAAAATGGGAGAAAGGTCTGCTATGTATGCCTCTATAGCTCATGAAGGAAAGGTGAGTTATAAATTTAATAAAGATGAGGTTTAAAAAATTTAGTGAAAGACATAGATGTGACAGACACATAAAAGAGTTAAGAAGAGATCGTTTATATGTTTTTATATGCCTTCCAATATTTTTAATTTTTTGACATGGTCTGATGCCTAAGCCAATCTTGAAAGCCTCAGGAGTTATTCACTCAAAATTTAAGTAAACTGATATGGAAGTAAATACATGTTTCTTTCAATCCCAGGCTATAAGCTAAAGACAAACTCGACCGAGTATCTATTGAGACTGTCAGATCTTTCTTTTCCTTAGGCTTAAGCTTTCCATATGCTCCATCCCAGCCACCTTATGTCACCCAGTGGCAAAATACAGCGCCTGCCTGGCCAAGACCCGATACACAGTACAGAATCACCTCCTTGACCTGCTGCAGTCGCAGTCTGTAAACCGAATGCAGCATTAGGAGCAGGAACTCCACGGAGGGCCGCGGCGCTTTCGGTCGCTTCCTGCTGATCCTCGGGCTGGAATCGCCCTCCCCCGCCCCCCAATCCTGCCTACTGCGAACCTCCACGACGAGCACCGAAAGGCGGACGGACAAAGGGAGACCGCCAAGGGCATTCTTCCGCAAACTGCAACCGGGGACTCCGCGGCCAACCCACCGCAATAGCAAAGCCCAAGGAAGGGAAGAGGCAGCCAGCGGTGGCAACGCGGAATGGCTTGTCTGCCCGTTGCCAAGGAGACAAGACCGAGGTCGAGCTTGCGGGGACCGCGGTGCAAGGCCGGCAGAGAAAGGGTTGCTCCGGCTGCCAGGAGCCGAAGGAATGGCCGCTCTGCTACGGGTCTCACCTGCTAAGTGCCCGCTTCATAGCAGAGTCACCGGAGGGCCGGGCGCTGCCTGACAAATGCGGGCTGGGTCTCAAGCTGAAGTCCTTATTCAGCGAAGGGGAAGAGGAAGACGAAGCAGCGGCTGGAGCCGGAGCGGAGGAGGCAAAGCGCTCATGCTCCAAGGTGACGGTCTCGTTCCGCTTTCTCATGCCGGCGGTGCCAACGCACGGGCGGTGCCACTTCCACTCGCCTAAGGGAAGACTCCTCTGACCCGAACCCGACGCCTCTTTCGCCTACATTATACCAACAACAACCCGACAACCGAGGGAATAGCAGCGCTTCCCGCGTGCTACCAATCAGAAAAGGCTAGGCTCACGTGACCTCTACGCGTTACATATCAACGTAGCTAGAACGAATGCTCGTTTCTTCAGCTTTGTTACTAAATTGCCCACATCAAAGATGGCTCTTGTGGGGGATAAGATATGATGCGGTATAAACGGTGATTACTTTTCTCCTAAAAATAATTACGAGCACCTACACAGATACAGCATATAGAAGGCAGGTGAAAACCCATGCTTATTTTTATAGCATTTGCACTTTCCTGTCTGTCTTTGAATCTTATAAGCTTGCAGATCTAGGATGCAAAAATTCGGATCACCGGAAAATGATAACAAATGTAGTTGTTTACATCACCTTGCTATCTCTAGCAGTCGTGGGGATCTTTGTAGCTCTGATTGGATATCACTAAAAATATAAACCATGAAATTTTTTTTCATTCCACAGTGATGTATTGGAAAGTGGGTCATGCTGCACACTATGCAGACTGCTGCTGATGTAACGGTTGAATGGAAAGAAAAGATAATCTGCTATAACCTATAATAATTTTCAATAAATTGCCATCAATGTTTTGTGCATATTCTGTCACTGCACCTAATATTCAAGGAAAGTTATTAAAAGTACATTTGTCAAAAGAAAAATCTTCATCGGGGTCCAATCCAAACTGGGAATAAACAAAATGGAGACTGCTTTAGAAAGAAGGTTGCAGTTTATTGAAGAGCAAAGCCAGACAGAAGCTTGGCTCTGGGAAAGCTGACCACATATAGTAGGGAGTGGTGGGTTTTTATACCTTCTTGAGCTTTTGTTTGGAGTTGTTCCTGTGGCATGAACTTTGACCTGAATCTGAGTGTGCCTTTCTGGTATTCTGATGGTGGCTGGTTAATCCTATTATGTCTTGCTTCCCTGGGGCTGTGGCTGATGACTGTTGGATTTTTGGTGTGAGGGATTGTTGATTCTAGGGATCTCTCTTTCTAATCCAAACTTCTTAGCTCCAATCTTTCTGACAAGATTGTCACATCTGCATTTCTGCAGACCTGGTTTCTGTTTGGGGCAGAGAGACTTGAGGGGGAGGTATTGGTTTCTGCCTTTAAGATCCTTTGTGGAAATATATTCTGCCTTTTTAATATTTCCCAAAATATTTCTTTCTCTGGATTCTTCCCACACATTTACTCTTGTATTTAATAGAAAGGACTCCCAGTCTGGCCTACAAAACAATATTTTATGGCTTACAATGCATGTAAAAAGATATCAAAATGGGGAAGTGATAAAAATTACATTACTTATAAAAATTATAAGCAGATTATAAATGTTTAATATAGTTAAAAGTTACAATAGAAACTACCGGTATTATAAAACCCAATCTACATATCATTTTGGAAAGTCAATCTTGGTGAGCCATTTGAACAGTGCTGCTTTCTTTCACTTCACTGCAGCTTAATGGAACTGTTGCAGCTAAGCCCCAATTGAAGAAGAGCTAGGAGCAGTTGATTGTTTACATTTTTAGAGCACCATGAAATCTGAGGTGCTGCACCATTTGATAAAAGAAAGGCTTCCCAAATATACTAAAACAAGTAGTAGAAAATCACTCTTGAAATATATTGATTTCTTCTGAAACACAATAAAAATACAATGAATTTATAATAGCCACTAAAATGTATTAAACAAAAGTGAGAGGCTTATAACGGGGAACTCAGAATCCATGCACAAAAGGCTTAATGTAATACATTATAATATAATGAAACTATATGTAATGTAATATATTAGTTAATGTGTTTAGTGCAATAATGACATTAATTGAATTAAATAAGTAGTGACTTATTTAATCATAATTAATTGCAGAAGTCATAGTGGCCTGGTTCATATTGACTTGCTGTCAAACAACATTGTTTGGTGTTATATTATGACTGAACAAAGTCATGAATTTTGTGATGGGGGGGGAGGATTAATTGCATAGCTTAGGATTGTAGCCAAAGATTAAAAAGGACAGTCCATGGGAGAGAATAAACTTCATTGGTTCTTACTGAAAAATGCAAGATGTGGCTTTGAATTTTGATAGAACCACTAGTTTTCCATATTGCTTGAGGTGCGTTATTTTCTGATAAAATATTTGATTAAATGTTTAAATAAGGCTACATATCTACGATAAGAAATATTTATACCTGAAACTGATATTACATAAAATTTTATTTAAAAAGGAAAGCAGTGCCATGAAAATGGATTGATGGTGGAAGATTATTCTTTATGCAGATAAAGCTAAAAATTCTATGTCCAGTAGTTGAGATACTTAACTGAACAATCGGTTAGTCACTAAAGAGCAGATTCACTTAGAACAGTGTGAAATAGCCACGAACACATTCTTGCAAAGGTAATTTTGGTATCAGTTGGATTCCAAATTAATGTGTTTAGAAGCCCTTACACGTGTTACTTTAGAAAAACAATGAAGAGATCTGTAGCATCTCAAAAACATAGAAGTTGGATCAAACTAAACTTAGTTACAGCATTCTGTTCTGACTGTAGCCAACCAGATGGCTCTAAAAAGTTTGTAAATGCAACATGAGCTCAGCATCAAAGGTCCACTTAATGGCATCAATAATGTATTTGTAGCTAGATAGATCTATCCTGAAGGAAGACTCTCTCTCTCTCTCTCTCTCTCTCTCTCTCTCTCTCTCTCTCTCTCTCTCTCTCTCTCTCTCTCTCTCACACACACACACACACACACACACACACACACACACACACACACTGAACAGTTCCAAAGGCTCTGGAACTGTAGTCTTTCTAGGTGTGTGTGTGTGTGTGTGTGTGTGTGTGTGTGTGTGTGTGTGTGTTTAAAGAGTAATACAATTGAAATGCCTCAACCTATAAACTTTTTATTGGGGGAAGAAGCGAAAAGTATTGTTTTTAGTGGAAATACTTCAACATTCACTTAGGGCTCATAAAGCGCAAGAATTCAAATTTTTCCAAGTACCTATCTGACTTTCATTGATTCCTCAGTTTCCTGCGAAGTTCCTTGTTTTGTCCCTTGCCCTGTTCCGTAATAAGTAGTTGCTGAAGGCGGGACTTTTGTTTTCCTCACCCATCCTTCCAAGGAATCCAGTCTTCCTATTGGCCGAGCAGTACGAGCGCGATTTACTACACGCCCGCCCGCCGAATTCTAAGGCGATTCGGTCGATCCCGTGGCTGTCATGTTTTCTGAGAAAGCGACCGAGCTGGTCCGAGAGCTGTACCGCGCGAGCGATGGGCAGCTTCCTGCCTTCAACGTAAGTTTTTGCCGTGCGCGCGCTTCGCTTCTTCGCCTTTCCACGGTCCGACTTGCGGAGTCCGCGGAAGCCGTGAGGGGATTGGCGTGAAGGCGAGGCGCGAACGGATTCGATTTTCTGACAGAGTCAGCCTTGAATTGATAAAATAACCTTTTTATTTTATTTACAGTATTTAATCACCTCGCTTCGTTATTTGTGCAGAGGGCTCTCCTAGTAAAATCGTACCCAGCTCTAATACGGTAGCGTTGTCCAACCCAGCCTCTTTCGGGAGTTGGCTTAAGAATCCATTACCTTTCGCCAGTTGTAGACTTTGCCCATATTTTCAGCATCCCTTGAAACCTCATTTTCTCCTGCTAATAATTGTCAAGAAGCAGCTTGTAAGTCCTAATGAAGCAAAGATGGCAGGGTTGGGCAGCTGGCACTAACTCAGCTTTCTTTAGCATCCCTTCCTTCTCTCCAACCATCTGCTAGTGCATTCAATCCTGTCTCTACATTTTTTCAGTTATTTATTTCAATCAATCACTGTTGGAAATGTGAAAAACATGAAAGGACATTTTATCATGTTCGGTAGGCTTGTAAAATAGATATTGGACACAAATACATATAGTAATGTAGAGAGTTTTAAAAAATAATATTCAGATGAAACCAGATTTTTTCATACTAGTATTTATGGACAGTCAACTAGAAAATTTCTCATGGATAATTGTTTTTATATATGGAAACTGCAGCATGGTTATTGTATGCACAAAGATGGAAGAATATAGAGCCTTGGTACATAATTTGAGAAGGTGAAGATTATAATCATTAAGTTTTTAACTGCTACAAAGAAAATCAGAAATGACTTCTTTAAATACTTTTTTCTTTTTTGTTCTTTCACTTTTTCTTTTATTCTTTTATTTTTTATTTCTCTATTTCCCTTTTATATTTCTGTATTTTTAAGCTTATGTAAAATCTTTAAACAAAAAAAATATTTTAAAAGTTATATTTTTATTTGTTGAAACATTTTTCTTGAATTAGGTTAGTAATTAAATGATCATTGTATTTGGTGTTTTCCTTTCCCAGGAAGATGGGATCAGACAAGTACTTGAAGAGATGAAAGCATTGTATGAGCAGAACCAAATTGATGTGTAAGACAATTTCATCAATAAAAGAATAATTTGTCTACATAAAATATTTTTAAAATGAAGCCATAACTCACATTTTGCAGGAAAAGAAATACAGCTAAATATAGCTGCCAGATCCAAGTAGGCAGCAGCTTGTTTGAGCTCAGAAGTTAGCAGCATTGAGCCTGGTTAGACTGAACCACTAGGAAATGCCAGGCATGTAAACTAGATTGGAAATTTGAAACAAATCATCAAAGTTCCCAAAAGAAAGCAATGTCAAATCACTTTCATATTTTTGCCAGGAATCAATAACTGTCTCAGATTAATTATTACAAATGTGATGACTCATCACTATAAAAAAACTACATTACATCTTCTGATACAGACTAACATTTTGGGAAAAGATAGACATATATATCCAATGCCACCTTATCTAGTAAATGTCCAATATGGCCTAGATGACATGTCACTGTAAATAAATATACTTCCTTTGCACTGAATTTTAGAGAAGAATAAAAGTGGTGAAATTGCTTTGGACTGCTTGTAAAGTCCTCTGTCTTTGTAAAATAAATGATTCCTTCTTCAAGATATGTGTATCTCAAAACAAGGCAGAGTATACTTTTTGTTTCGCTTTTATGAATGCAGAATCTAAAAGAGTATACAGTAATTGCATGCTAGAGGACTTATGGGAACAATTTATAGATTTTTTTCAGTACAAAAAAATCCTTTCTTAAATTAGAAACAGAAAACTGATAGCAGAAAAAGATCTAGTGGCCTATCAAGTCTACCCCCTGAGGTTTTTAAATTGGATTTTTTAAATTTTTGTCAGATGATGGACATGTGTTTATCCCAAGATGTTTAAACTCAGTTACTAATGATTGAACAACTGTCTCCACTGAAAGTTGGTTCAAAGCTTCCACTACTCTTTCTGTGAAGGAATACTTTCTAATATTACTTTTGAACTTCCCTTCTGTCAGGTTGAAGTTATGCTGATTTGTTGATTTTTGATTGATTTTTGTTTAATATTGAAAATACTGCCTTCTATTCTTACTCAGTTCCCTTGCAATTCTTTACAATTCATAGTGAAATTTTTTTTTTTATTGAAATTTTTCAAAAGTTTTACAAATAAGAATCCACCCCCCCCTCCCCAACCACCCCACCCCCCCCCGACTTCCCAGAACTGAATATAGGATTATTTAACAAATATTTTAAAAAATAACATTTGCAATTTATAAAATAATTAATAATAATAATAAAAATCACAGTAATAATATATATAATAATAATATACATAACATAAACTTTAAAATGAATAATATATACTAAAAAAGAAAAAAAAATAAAAAAGAAGAGAGAGAGAGAAAGAAGAAAGAAGAAAGTAGACGAAGAATAAAGCATATATATATATATATAAAATATATATATATATATATATATAAATAATAATACGTAAAAAATGTATATATATAAAAAAGAAAAAGAAGAAAGAAAGAAAGAAAAAACAATCATTACAAATTATAAAAAGGCTAAATAATATTTTTCCATATCCAAGTTATGTTGTATAAAATTTATCCATTTTTCCCATACCGCAAAAAATTTTTCTTGAGATTGCTCCTTTAAGAAAGCCGAAATCTTTGCCATTTCTGCCAAATACGAAACTTTATGAAACCATTCTTGTAAAGTAGGCAAAGATTCCTTCTTCCAATATTGTCCTATTAACAACCTAGCGGCTGTAATCAAATTTAACATCAATATAACCTCCTTAGCATCACAGTCAATAACAATACCTAGTAAAAATAATTGCGGAGTAAATTTTACCCTCCTTTTAAAAATTCTTTGAATATTCCACCATATCTTAATCCAAAAAGCTTTTATATGCTTACACGTCCACCAAATATGGTAATAGGTAGCATCCAAATATCCACATCTCCAGCATTTCGGCTGTAGATTAGGGTACATAATGGACATTTTCTTTGGGTCAAGGTGCCATCTATAAAACATCTTATAAAAATTCTCTCTTAAATTTTGCGCTTGTGTGAATTTAACATTTCTTATCCAAATAAGTTCCCAAGTATCCATTGAAATCGTTTCACCAATATTCTGTGCCCATTTAATCATACAATCTTTAACTAGTTCAAGTTCTGAATCTAATTCCACTAAAACCCCATAAACTCTCTTAATATGGGTTGGCCTTTGATCTCTTACTTGTTTTAAAAAAATTTCATCTTCTCTAAGCCAGCCCATTTTACAATCCATCTTCCATCTATCCACTATTTGTCTATATTGGAACCATGAATAAGTTAAGTTTTCATGTGTTAATTCTTCCAAAGATTTTAACTGCCAGTCTTGGCCATCCCATCTTAATAACTGTACGTAAGAGACCTTGTCCATATTTACCCCTTTCCTTATACCTTCTATGGCATGCCGAGGTATAGCCCATAATGGTATTTTGAAGTCACTTTTATAATACTTTCTCCACACTCTTAGCAAAGAGTTTCTTATAATATGAGACTTAAAAACCCAATCCACTTTTTTATTAAATATTAAATAGGCATGCCATCCAAAAAGTAGGTCCCAGCCTTCCAAATGAAGTATTTCTGTATTTGTTAAATTCACCCAGTCGCTAATCAATGTCAATACTACAGCATCATAATACAATTTCATATTTGGTACCTTGAGTCCACCTCTCTCACGAAAATCTTGCATTATTTTAAGTTTCACCCTTGGTTTTTTCCCTGCCCAAACAAATTTATTAATACCTTTTTGCCATTCATCTAAATTACGTTCGTTCTTTAAGATAGGTAACATTTGAAACAAAAAAATAAACTTTGGCAGGACATTCATTTTAATAACTGCAATTCTGCCCATAAGGGATAACTGTAAATTATTCCAGTTTTTTAAATCCTTCTGTACCTCCATCCACAGCTTTTCATAATTATTTTTATACAATTTTACATTAGAAGCAGATAATGTAACCCCCAAATATTTTACCTTATCAACAATTTCAAAGTCTGTTAAGTTAACTAGAGCCTGTTTATCACCATTAGTCATGTTTTTAGCTAATATTTTGGTCTTATTATTATTAATTTTAAAGCCAGAAACACGTCCATATTGTTGAATCAATTGTAATAATTTCACCACCGAAGAAACAGGTTGAGACAAAGTAACAACCAAGTCATCTGCAAAGGCTCTTAATTTATATTCTTTTTTATTAATTTCTATTCCTTTTATTTCTTGAGACTCCCGAATTTTAATCAACAAAATTTCCAGTGTTAAAACAAACAATAACGGAGACAACGGGCATCCCTGTCTTGTTCCTTTTTCTATTACAAAAGCCTCTGACAAACCCCCATTTACAATAATTTGAGCAGTCTGTTTTTGATATATATTGGATAATACTTGTAATATATTTTGTCCAAAATTCATCTCCTTGATTAAACACAGCATAAACTGCCAATTCACTTGATCAAAGGCTTTTTCAGCATCCAAAAATATCAGGCCTGCAGAGACTTGGTTATTCTTTTCTAAATACTCTAATAAATTAATAATTTGTCTAACGTTATTCTTCATATACCTTCCAGTTATAAAACCCGATTGATCCCTATGTATAAACTGCTGCAAGATCCCCATAAGCCTGTTAGCTAAAATTTTTGCAAAAATTTTATAATCCACATTTAAAAGAGATATAGGCCTATAATTTTTAGGCAAAGTAAGATCTTGACTATCTTTTGGAATCAATGATATAAATGCATTACGCCAGGATGGAGGGATCTCTAACCCCTGTAATAAATTATTAAACAGTTCACACAACGGTTGAATCATCTCTTCTACTAAAGCTTTATAATAAATAGATGTCAACCCATCCGTACCCGGCGCTTTGCCCAATTTCAATTGTTTAATAGCTGTAACAATTTCTTCCTTAGTAATTAAACCGTTAATCTTTTTTTCCTGATCTTCTGTTAATTTAGGAAAGTTAACTTTGCCTAAATAATTATTTATATCTGTAATTTGAATATTAGTACCCTTATATAATTTTTGATAGTATTCTAAAAAAGATTTCTTAATCAATTCTTTCTGATAAACCAATTTACCATTATAATTTATTTTATCTATATTCCTCTGTTTCTGTTTTTTTCTTAACTGATAAGCCAACCATCTCCCTGGTTTATTAGCATTACAAAATGTATTTTGTTTCATAAATAGCAAATTAGTTGCAGCTTGATCAGCCATCAGCATGTTAAATTGTGTTTTTAACAATTTTAAAGCTCCTTTAACCTTTTCATCTAAGGGATTTGAAATTAAAAGTTTCTCTTTTAATTTAATCTCCTCTTCCAAGTCTTTCCGTTTCTGAGTCTGTTTCTGTCTATGCAAATTATTCATTTTTATCAAAATACCACGCATAAAAGCTTTACTTGCATCCCAGACCATTGACATTGATGTTCCCTTGTTCATATTTAAAGTAAAATATTCCTTTAAACATTCCTTTAATTTATGAACATTTTTTTCTTGTTTAAATAAATTCTCATTCACCCTCCAGGATCTCCTATCTTCCTTCTCTACAAACAGTTCCATCCAAACTGGACTATGATCGGACAATGTCCTAGGAAAAATTTTTACATTCTTCACCCTGTTGTATAAATCTGTTGTGATCAAAAAGAAATCAATTCTTGAGAAAGATTGGTGTCTATCTGAGAAAAACGTAAAATCCTTTTCTTCTTGATTACGTTCACGCCAATAGTCTCTCAATTCCCAATCTTCTTTCATATCAAAAAAGGCTTTAGGTAATTTAGCCTGTTTAAAAAAGGTAGAAGAGCCTTTTTTGTCCATTTGTATATCTAAGACACCATTCCAGTCTCCCATCAAAATCACAGATCTATAGTCCAACAAAGTTATTTTCTGATGTAGTAACCTATAAAATTGCTCCTGTTGCTGGTTTGGTGCATACAACCCCACAATAAGAATTTTCTTGCCATATAAACCAAGTTCAAGCATAACATATCTTCCGTAAGGATCTGATTCTAACAAGGTAGCAGATAAATTCTGTTTAACATAGATTACCACACCCCCTTTCTTCCCAGGGGCGGGAGATACAAAATGAGATCCCAAGCGAGGATTATTTAAATATTTTTGATCTTTAGCTGTAATATGAGTTTCTTGCAAGCAAATAATATCATTGTTATGTTGTTTCAAATAGTGGTAAATTTTTTTTCTCTTTTGAGGAATGTTTAATCCATTAACATTCCAGGACAGGAGCTTTGCCATCTCCCTTGGCCTTCAGCCTGGAGAAGATCCGCTCAAATTCTGCTGCTGATGAATATGTAGCAGAGCTTTTGGGTCTTGCTCCTCCCACCGGCACTGAAGCAATTTGCTGAGTAGATTCTTCAATTTCTTTTTCTTTTTCTTTTTTCTGTTGTTCTTTTTCTTTACGTTTATGTGCTGCACGGGTCATTCTCTGTTCTTTAACCTCTGGTTGAGACATCCATACCACCTGTCCAGCAGTCATCATCCCTGTACCTTCAGATTTCTGTTCCATCTCTTTGTCACTCAAGACTTTATGCATCATGGGCAAAGGAGAGCCTGCTCCCAGGACCGTTTTATAAAATTCCTTAGCTTTAGCAACTGTATTAAGTCTATAACGTGTCCCCGCATGGCTCAAAACAATGCCCATCGGAATCTCCCATCTAAATGGCATTTGTCTTGCTTTAAGTTCATTTACTAAAAAAGCAAAATCTTTTCTGCTTCTTAAAATTTTAGGTGGAATTTCCTTTAAAATAATAATATCTTGGGCAGCAATCTGAAATCTTTTATTATAAAAAGTTTGTAGAATCTGATTTCGCAAAGACTTCTTAGCAAAATATATCACCACATCTCTAGGCAAATTCCTCTGTTTTGCAATCCAAGAATTAACTCTATAAATTCTTTCCACATCCCCACGTAACTCTTCTTTATCAATATTCAAAATAACAGCCAAGTCATTAATCACCATTTCCATCAAATCTTGAGTTTTATCTTCTTTCAGACCCCTTATTCTCAAAGCATATTCCATCTGTCTATACTGGAACATAAGAATATCATCTTGTGAAGTCTCCACTTTTTTCTCCATATCTTGAAATTTATAATCCAAAAGTTCAACTGTTTCTTCAATTTCCTCTACTCTGGAGTCCAGCTTCACAACCACTGAGGCCATTCCAGATAGAGCTAGAAGTATATCATCCCTCAAAATAGCATTATTCTGTTCTAAAAGCTCCTTCATCTCTTTCTTCATTTCCTCCTTAGTTTCAGATTTATTCTGGTCCAAAAGTTGTTTCATTTCCTCCCTAAACTGTGAGACGGCACTTACCATTATTTCTTTAATGTCTTGTGCTGATGTGCCAGATGGGGGAGGTGAAGGTGGAGTGGATTTAGGTTGCTGCACTGAGGGTATTATTTTAAGTTGTTGTTGCACAGTAGAAGTAGCAGGAGAAGAAGTTACTTTAGAAGCTGCAGTAGCTGGTTGTCGTTTTGAAGCCATTTTAATTTATCTTCCTTTCTTCTTAAAAATACCAATAAAAATAAGTAATCCAAAAAAAAATTAAAAATAAGATAAAATAGAATAAAATAAGATCAATCTAAAAGTCCCCAAGAATAAAAAAGTAAAAAAGTAAAAAAAAAAGCAGTATTAAACAACAATTCAGCCGATCCGTCTTTTAAAGGAAAAAAACTTTCAAAACGCCATTTTACTTTCACTCTCACTTTTCCGCCCGAAAAAAAAGAGAAAGCTCAAAAAAATAAAAAAAAATCAGCACATACTAAATAAACTAAATAAACTAAAAAAAGATAAAATAAAGCTAAACTATAAATAAAATCCTTTAAACAGTTCTGTCCGGTTTAAGATTACTCACGGTTTCTTTAAGTACGGAGATGGTAGCGGCGTCTCGCTTTGTTTCCGAAGAAACAAAGACAGCTGAGAGGCGGAGAAGGCAATGAACTCCGAGGGAACCCTCTTTCTACCCCCCTAAAAATAAAAATCCAGGGAGAGTTAAGAGGTTCTACCTCTATTCATGCGATCTCTACCCCTTCCCTTCGCCCGGGAAGGGGATTGCGAGCCGCGGGCCAGCTGGTAAACGCTGTGCTCCGCGGATCTGACACCTTCTCAGGAGGACGGCTACAAAGTAGCCGCCATCTCCACCGCTTTAACCACCGGAAGTCCAATTCATAGTGAAATTGAGATGAAACTTCTGTGGTATCTAAAGCTTACAAAATAAGTATAAACTAATAGCATGAACCAATTGTATGTTCATTTTGAGTTCAAAATATATTTAACTAATATAATTCTACTATTATTACCAGAAATGAAGCCAAGTCAGGTCACAGTGAGTTGATTACAACAATCAAATTTCGCCATTGCTCTCTGCTGAGAAACCGAAGATGTATTGTTGCATACTTGTAAGTGTCTAGTGATCCTCTGTGAAATAATTCCCAATTCTTCCAAGATCAGATTGTTTCACTTTTGAGATTGATATTTTTAATGGAATTGTACAAGACTTCAAATTCTTAACTATATCTGGCAGTACAGGTAGTCTTTGATTTACAACAGTTCATTTAGTGACTACGAAGTTACAAAGACACTGAAAAAAGTGACTTAGGACCTTTTTCACACTTACACTTTGACATTTGCAGCACCCCCATAGTTATATGTTTGAAATTCAGAAACTTAGCAACTGACTCATATTTATAATGGTTGCTGGGTCATGTGATCATCTTTTGTGCCCTTCTGACAAGCAAAGTCAATGGGGAACTATAACCATGCTACTAACTTAACAATTGCAATGATTCACTTAACAAATGTGGCAAGAAAGGTCATAAAACTCACTTAACAAATGCCTCACTTAGGAACAGAAATTTTGAGCTCCATTGTGGTCATAAGTAAATACTCTGTAAATAGCTTTAATTAGAGAAAATATGTCGGATTGATGTATTTTAGTTATAATTTATCAGCCTATTGTTATTTGATGATGGAAGTGATTGTGCACACAAAATTGTAAGGGACTCATTCACTATTAATTACTCTGCAGCTGCTTTCAATCCCATGGGAAAATAATTTGATTTAATGAACTGCACTCTAACTGCAGCTGAGGTGGCGCAGCAGTTAGAGTGCAGTACTGCAGGCCACTTTAGCTGACTGTGTTCAGCAAGTCAGTGGTTCAAATCTCACCGGCTCAAGGTTGACTCAGCCTTCCATCCTTCTGGGGTAGGTAAAATGAGGACCCAGATTGTTGGGGGCAATGTAAATATATATATACATTGCTTACTGGTGTACACCGCTTAGAGAGTGCTTGCACTTAAAGCGGTATATAAGTCTCATAAATAAATAAATAAATATAAGTTGCATTTTCCACTCTATCCAATTCAAATCACCTCTTTTTCTTTCAAATTCAAAGTAATGCATAGCCCTATTAGAAACTGTACAGTAATGAATTAAATATGTTTCCACTGTTATTATATTTAGGTATGACCGCTTACTTCGCCTCCGGGCCCTTAGGTGGGAATATGGTAGTGTCTTGCCAAATGCTGTCCGATTTCACATGTCAGCAGATGAAGTAAGCTAAATGTGTTTATGCATGTATTTGTGTAGCTTCAGAAGATTGGGAACAATCTGGAAGTATAGGAATATAAAAAAAGAGTATATTAACTACAGATATTAATTTAAAATCACCATACATCTTTAAACATACTATAGAATTTTCACAATCTTTTTAGCAGTTATGTTAGTGCAGTGAGGAAATGGTTCACTAAAGGCGGAAACTATAGGAATAACTGATATTGGACACCGAAGCTGGATTTGCATAATACATTAACCCTGATATGATTACTTGATTTTGACTTAGCATATAGTATAAAGCCAATAATTGTGGTTTTATAAACCAAAATTTATGGCTTAGTCCCATATGTAACTATAGCTAATTATGGTTTATTCAGTAGAATAGAGCAGGGCTTTTCTACCTTTTCACCCATTGTACCACTTTTAGGATATGGCAATATCTAAGTACCACCAGTCGCCTAGCAAGGTGTCAAAAACTTGATGACACCCCCAAAAAGGAAAAAAGTGATGAAGTACAGCTAGTCCTTGACTTACAACAGTTCGCTTAGTGACTGTTCGAAGTTACAATGGCACTGAAAAAAGTGCCCCCCAAGCTACAGCTGAGCAAGACACCTGCCTGCCCACCTGGTGGTGCTCTTCCTCCTGTACAAGGTTTTCATTGTGAGCATTTCTGTTGAAGATTGGCAGCGAGGGGGGGGTGTTTGATATTTATTCCCCCCATCTGCTGGGTTGTTGCAGCAGGTTTTGGTCATTTCACATGACCCTGGGACACTGTGACCATCCTAAATATGAATCAGCTGCTAAGCATCTGAATGTAAATCACAAGACCCTGAAGATGCTGCAACATTCCAGCTGATCGGCACTTCTTCTGGGCTTAGCAGAAGTGCCAGGATCAGCGCCGAGCTCCAGCTGGAGCCTGGCACTGATCCTGACGCTTCCGCTGAGCCCTGACAGCCCTACAGCTCCAGCCATCTCTCGCTCAGGCTTGTGCGGTGCTGCCACTGGTTCAGCTCATTCCCCTCCCCGGCTACCACTTTTCTAGGATTGTCGCGTACCACCTGTCAGGTGCCACTGGTTGAAAAGCCCTGGAATAGAGTTCAACAAACCATAACTTTGTGTAATGTGTAAACCTATTGTAATATTTATGTCCCAAAATATTTGGATATAAATATTAGGCATTGGAATCACCTTTAATTCTCAGGCATACTAAGAATACACGATTGTATAGAAATTTACTCTCAGATGAAGTTCATTGTCAATTACGTATTTTTTTCAATACATGACCTATAGAAACTAGAAATCACTGTGTTGTTAAGAAGAATTTCTGAGATTTCATACTTCACTGTTATTTTGTATTGTCTTTTAATAGTTTGGAAGGATATCTAACTTGACAGTATATAAGTGATACTTAACTTCATGAATAATTAAACATTTTATATCTAGGTGCTTTGGTTTAACCAATATAAAAAGTCGTTGGCTACCTATATGAGATCATTAGGAGGAGGAGATGGCCTTGATCTTACACAAGACATGAAACCTCCCAAAAACTTGTACATCGAAGTAAGTAAAACTGAGGATTATATACTTTTTTAAAAGAAGAAAACTTTGGTTCATTATCAGACTTCAAAATATACAAAATTATTTAATAAAATCACTGCAATCTAAATTTAATTCATTAGGCTGCTCAGAAGAGCATAATTTATGTAACAGAAGAACTTCTTAATGCAGGCTTATGCTTAATTTTTACCAATGATGTACAATATTTTTTTATATTATTTTTCCTTCAGGTTCGGTGTTTGAAAGATTATGGAGAATTTGAAATTGATGATGACACAACAATTCTGCTGAAGAAGAATAGCCAGGTATTTATAAGTAGACATGGTGCAGTTAACTAATGACCAAGATGGAAACAGTTAATTTTTTTTTTAGAAGTTTGGAACACAAGAAGCTATTCTTTATTAGGCCATTGGTTAAAGCTAGCCACTTCTGAAAATGTTGTCAGGAAAGTTGTGTGGACTAGTCACCAATCAAGAATGACTCTGACACACAAAAAATTATCTAGCCCTGAATAATCAGTTCATATAACATGAAGATCCTATGTTTCACCTTAATCTGAGTCTTTTAACTGGAGTTTTGGAGCAAGGACTCCATTCAGGTGCCATAGTTTCCTCAAATTTCTGACCTTCATTATTAATTGCAAATAAATGAATGAGGAAGATCTCCCATGACACAGTAGATTAGAAGAAGAGGCGGTATAAGCAGTCCTCAACATATGACCACAATTGGGCTCAAAATTTTCATCACTAAGCAATGCAGTTGTATAGCTGCATCATTTAGCAATAACAATGCCTATAGTTCAAGTTGCCATTGTTACTGAATCTTATAGTGTTTAAAAGAGGCAATTTCCTAGGCCTCCTACAAACAGTGGGGAAGCTGGCATGTTGGCTTTAATCTTGAAATGCTGCTGATTTGAACTTCTGCTGCTGTGGCTTCAAAGGATTCACTGATGGGCAGAAAAAATGATTTGTAGATTTAAAAGACTGTCCTTGAATAATCAGAAATTTACTATATTGTCTTATCAAGAGTGGTAGAGTTTATTATTGCCCTATTAGTAAATGAATATTCCAAGCAGCATCAGAAATTATTCTTTCAATTTCCCATAAATAAGAAAAACATGTATGCAGAAGAGAGAATTTGATCAGTCTGGGCCACAGCGCATCTATGAAACCTTTCTTACCTCTGTGCCAGATCATTCTAATACATCTTGAGCATTTAAATTGTAATTCCATATACACTTATTTAGAAGGAAGTTAAATCCAGCAAAATTCATTTTGAATGAATGGATATTAAATTAAAAATTATTATAATTCTGTTTATGAACTAAATATTTTTTCATTGGAAGATGATTGAGGGAAACATATTTTTCAATGCAGAAGAATTAAATACACAAAATCTCATTGCTGTTCTTAAGGATTTTCCTTTACAAATCCATTGATTAAGCTTTGGAGGCTGATGTTAGCTTAAGTATCTAGAGCACTGGTTCTCAACCTTTTTAATGCCGCGACCCCTAACCGGTCGTAAGTCGAGGATTACTCAACCGGTCGTAAGTCGAGGACTATTCAACTGGTACAGCACCGTTTGCAGAATGGGACTTTTGGCGGGCTCAGCAGGGCAGAGACAACCTGGGCAATTCCTATTGGCTTTTGAAAGCCAATAGAATTAGACTCTATTCAAGAGAGTCTATTCTATTGGCTTTCAAAAGCCAATAGAATAAAAGGGAGTAGCATAGCTAAGGAAAAGGGGGGAAAAAATGGCGGACTGCGTTGTTTAGCGACCCCCGTGAAATGGTCGTTCAACCCAAATGGGGTCCCGACCCACAGGTTGAGAACCACTGATCTAGACGTACATTTGAGAGAATTGCTATATAGGTTAGCTACAATACAGTGGGATTAATACAAACAATACCTACATAATTTCATGTTATTTTTGATGTTGCTTGTGGGTTTAGGTGGTGCATAAAAAAGATAAATGTAAGTATTTCCTTAGATTTGAAAATGGGTTCTTTTTTTTTTTCTTTAGCATTTCTTACCACGCTGGAAATGTGAACAATTAATCAGGCAAGGAGTTCTGGAGCACATCCTATCATGAGCTGGGTTTACAAGACTGCTAAAATGCACATAAATTAAATAGTTTTGCAGATTTCAAAATAGGGTCAAATAGCATTTTTTCTCCTTTGATAATCTTTTTTGAAAAGCACAAAATAAGTTTAAAGTTATTATTACAAGCAGACAAATAATATTTTGTGAAGAGGAAAGATGTGATATGTACAAGACCTTTCTCCAAAAATAAGTAGTTTGTTTTTATTCATTGCCTCAATTGTTACCTTTTTATTTGATTATCTTTTTGGATTAGAGTTACTTTGTTTTGGTCCTCTCTGGCCTTTTTATATAAAAAAAAAATTAATTGACCAAATGCTGTAACTCTTTCACTAATAATTACTATATATTGCTTTGTGCTATTTGAAATCATGTAGTAATCCTTTGTAAATATTTAAATATTTTTATATGATGTTATGTGATTTCTATAGTAAATGTGAGTGTTATGACTACAGTCACCTTTGTGATGTTTTTAGTTACCATGCTAGCCTTAAAAGTACCCATGGAGTTTTGGCAGAATTCACCCAAACTCAACGTTGTATAATAAAAATTTCCTAATAAGTTTTTAACTGATCAAAAGAATCTGTTTCTTCGTAATTTTAGTGACATCAGAACTATGCAATCTGAGTGGCTTATTTCGCTTTAGATGAAGGAAGAAGTATGTGTTTTGTTAGTGCACATTCATTAATATAATGAATTAATGACTTCAGTAATTTCAAGCACAAATTAAATACAATAGGAAGACAAAAAGGAACCGCACTAAGGCATCTTTGAAAGAGTGTTGCAGATTTTAAAAAATAAATAATTAAAATATTTTATCTTTTGAAAGTACTATATAAAACAGTGTCTTTAATTCTCATTCCAACCAAGCAGTCCAAAAAATAGATGGAGTTCTTGGAGAACAAACTTGGATATAGAGTTCCCAAGTGTATTATCCTTTAAAGCACCGGTGTCAAACTCGTCGCGTCACATGACATGTGCAACGTATCCTGACTTTTTTTGCATTGCCAGAGCTAGGGCTGGCACAACCTCCACATGATGCAACCAGCACATGGGCCGGCAGTTTGACACCCCTGCTTTAAAGTAATCAAAGTGAGCTCCATCCCAAATGGAGACTGAAATGCTAGACTGAAATGGCAAATTAATTTATGAAAATGTATTTAGGTTTGTATCTCATCTAATAATATACTCCTGTCTTGTGCCTGTTTGCCCAACTCCTGTTTTCTATGTTTTCCTTTTCCCTCTTTTCATAGAATTTCCTCCATTGCAGAGGGGAGAGATTGCTTGAACAACTTGCCTGCTCCTTAACTGCTCCTTTACAGCACAGCATTTTCCTAAAATGTGCTAAACACAGGCATCTGAGACCCTTAGTGTTAACAAGCTCAATGACCTTGATTAATTACTAGCACCCCCGGGCCAGCTTCCACTGTTATCTGAAATTGGCACATCCTAATGAATTTCAGCCTAAAGGTTTTCTTTTGCCTCCAGCCAGGAGCTAAATAAACAGAAAGCACAAAGGCATTCCTTTCAAATGTATATCCCCCCCCCCAATGTGCTTGCTTACTCTCTTGTAGTCTCTTCCTCTCCAATTAGTACAAATACTATACATTAATTTCCACTTGCTCATTATTCCAGAACTGAAGTGGGGATTTTAAAGGACAGGGAAATGGGGGGAGGGGGGGGAAACTGCCTGTAAGATTTATCTCTTTTTCAAAGCTTCTTTGCGAGCCCAAGTTCTGGAACATAAATCTTCCCTGCTGTTAGGGCTCACTCAGTTGTTCGAATTTGTATCCTCTTGATGCTGCATCTGTGGGCAATTTCTTAATAAGCCTTTCTCAAGATTTGTTGCTGTCTTGGCATCTCCCTTTGTTCTTTATTATCCCCTGCAAATTCTAAATCAAGTGTAGATTCACAGGTTGACAACTCCTTTCTTTGATGAATACATAAAATATAAATTGGTGGGTTGTTTTTCTCTACTTACAAATGTGATTTCAGATAAGGCACAAATTCTACATCCCCAGGTTGAACTGAATGTTTCCATTTTAGTCAAGGAGCCATGAAAAACATTAATTTATGTGTAGAGTGCTTTTTAAAAAAGTGCTAAGGGAATAAACAATCTCACTATGCCTTTTTGTGGTTCCTGGACTGCATTCAGATTATCTTCTACCAGGGTAGCTTCTTTTATCAATCTCTGCAAGTTATTACTGAGAATGGAGAAATGGCAGCCTGCATGATTATCCCTATTTGTCTCTGCCTTTCCTAGGAAACAGCACTTCTTGTGGATGATTTAAGTTACTAGGCATAGTATTGTGGCCTTTGAGATTGCAACTCAAAGGTATTAATACAACAGTATTAGGCCATTCCAGACAAGGTGATGTCCAATTTAGGGTGATTTCATCTTCTAACTTTGAATCCCTAGACTGGTCCTAAAGTGCTACTGGAAAATGCAAGGTCTGCATGCAATAAGACTGCATCCATTTATGATTTGATGGTGGACAAGGAGATGGATTTGAGCTGTATTACTGAGACTTGGCTGGCAAAAATAGCAATGTTGCTTTCTCTGAAATCTATTTATCCAGGTTTGGTCCTATATCAACTCAAGCTGGGGATGGGAGTTAGCTACATCCCTTTTCTCCCAGCCCGAGTAACACACAATCATCCCCTTTTGAGCTCATAGTTTATTTCAATATTTTGCATATAGTGACAGTCACATGTCTAACGTTCCTACTGAAAATCTAGCACTTGAATTTAGATTGAAAAGGGGAGCCTCATTGGTTATCCAGGTGAAATCATATTTTTATGGTAATAGCATAAATGTTGCAAATTCCTTTTAAAGATATGAAGAGTACATTGGTGGCACAACACACAGTATCTGCTGTGGCCATTAAAGTCAGGGGATGAATATGAATATTTTTTGCCACCCTAGCAAAAGGAACATGTCTACTTAGCAAAGCCATTTATACAATAAAAAACCAGCATAAGAACAAACTATAGCGATTCTGTTTAATTAAAATGTTCCAGACACCTAAAGCAAAAAAATAAGGGGGGGGGGGTTTGGTTCATTGGGTTCTTGTTTACAATTCTGCTAAAATAAAATAGCACATTAATTCAATAATATTTTACACACACATTCACATTCTCTTTAGCCAGTGTATAGACAGAGGGACAAGAAGTTGAAATCACAAGAAATGTCCAGTCCTCAAATGATACTAGAAGATCCCGTTTCTGTGAAAATTATCCATAAGGCACTAAATGGTTACACTTTTCCATTGGAAAAAAATTGGATGTTTATTGCTGTAAACCTTGTGTTTCTCCATCTTCAGAATTCCAAAAAATGTATTTGCTTACTTGTCTGTGGAGATTCTCAGTCATCCAGGCCATGGTTGCCTCAAAGGTGGTTTTTCAGGAAGCAACTGGACTTTCTTGTTTTTCTTTGAGGAGCGAAATGTTTTCAAAGAAAAACAAGAAAGTCCAGTTGCCTCTTGAAAAAGCACTTTTGAGATATTAGCTTACTTTTCTCCAATTTTTTTAGCTAGCATTTGTATTTTCCCTATTCTGAAGTGGTAGATATCTCATAGAGTGCTGTCCATGAGAAATGAATAGTTTTTTGTATTCAGTCTGAAATATATAGAACAATTGCCACTTAAAACAGCTTCATGGAAACTGATTCATTTAAATGAATAATTCATAGAGATGCAAATGAGATTTCTCCAACTAGCTTATTGAGGGATGAAATTTTTTCTTCTAGAATTAAGTTCCTATTTTCTGTGCTCTTCTGCATCTGTTCTGTAACTTGCAGCATTTTCATCAGATGTGCATTCTTCACATACAGGTCCTTCAGCAATAGATTAGACTTGGCATGTTTTTCAAACTGAAAAAGGAATGAACATTCCATTAATTACTATTCAGATACACCAATAACAAAACAGCAGAATACAATGTGTTTAATGATTCCATGTAAATTATGCTATGCCCCTACAAATCCTGAAAAAAACCACTTTATTTCGCAGCTTATTAAAATAATGGTTTTTCAGATGAAACTTTGAGCAATAATAATTAGTAACCAATTTCAAAGTTACGAGTGACAGTTTGATATAGTGTTTAAAGACATGGGCTAGAAAACAGAAGAACTGGAGTTTTATTACTGCTTTAGGTACAAAGCCAGGTGGGTGAGTTTGGGCCAATCACTCTCTCTTAAGCCTAGGAAGAAGGCAATGGCAACTACTGAACAATGTTGCTCAGAAAATGACTGGGAATACAAACATAAAGCTGAAATATATTAGAAGGAAGTAATAATATTTGGGATAGATAATGAAATAAATTCTTCATTCTCTGTTCTTTAATTTGGAACTTGTGCATGTATGTAGAGTGAATGGTTAGAAACCTGCTTGCACAATATTCAGTGTGGTCTGTTGATTGAGGGAAGGCAAATACTTTAGGGCAGTGATGGTGAACCTTTTAGAGACTGAGTGCCCAAACTGCAACCCAAAACCCACTTATGCATCGTCAAGTGCTGGGTGGGTGTGGCCCATTGACTGGGTGTGGCCAATTGGGTGGGCATGGCCCATTGGATGGGCGTGGCTGCAGTGGTAATGACAGACTGGGTGGGACTAAAAAGTTCAATCAATCAATTCCAACTTTGCAAGATCTTTTTTTTTCCCGCAAGAAGTTGAAATTGACTGATTGAACTTTTTTTTTTTTTTTTTTGCACATGGCAGTGGAGGCCTAAAGTGAAAAGGTTTTATAAAACCCAGCTGAAGGCCTAGGACTGGGGTGACGGCGCGCGTGCCCACAGAGAGGGCTCTGAGTACCGCCTCTGGCACCTGTGCCATAGGTTCGCCACCACTGCTTTAGGATAATTTAATGTATATATTGTTATGCATTCCAGAAAACTTTTGTCTATATACTGTTTTAAAACTGCAAGCAACAGACAACGATTTGTCCATTTCTAACGATCTATTTCTTCTCCATGCATAGAAAGCAACAAATCCACTCTTGCGCTTACTTGTTCCTTAAGTTGAGACATCTTCTCCTGAAGCAACATTTGTGTATTTTTCAAATTCATTTCTACCTCCCCCAATTTCTCCTCCATTAATCTATGTGAGTTTTCATATTCTTCCTGCAGAAAGAAGAGCATAAATTCTGAGCATTGTTTACTGTAAATCCCAACACAATTTAACCATAAATGAAAGTTAAAGGAATGGCCTGAGAACAACTGTTGATTGCAAAGTTGCTACAAGATTCTTTATATTCCAGAAGAAATAGCCTAAGCTACTCATCATACTCGTAAATTTAATAGTGAAGGTAGTCACAAACTTCTGGTATTTCACTATAAATACTTATGAGTCATTTTAGATAAGAAACATTAACCACAACACATGTTTCTGAGTTTCCTTGTAAAAAAAAGCTTCAGTTACCTACACTCTGTTTTCATCAGAGGTTTTTGCGCTCTTGACTATTAAGCAATTGCCCAGCATTTTAAACCACAATTTAAAATCATAGTAAAAAGTAGCTACTGAGATTGATTTGTAGATTATTTCTCCTAAGGAGAGGAAAAGATGAATATACAATCTGAGACTTCTCTCAGAATGAGAGAAACTACATTACTTCTGGTTTAGTTTTAGCTTAGTATGTTGTGTGAATCTAGCCACTGTAGTTGTAACTTTTGGTTTAAGCTTTAGAGATGTGTTAAAAGGCCCACTATGACTTATTCAACAAACCATGGTAAAACAAGTTAAGCAGCTTATTTCTATTCATCACACCAGCAACTGCATTCTTGATAGGAATCTAAATGAAGGCTTAAATAAACTTCCTTCTTACTTGATAAATAGCCAGTTGCCATTTCATTTGTTCTGCCTGTAAGTCTAGATCTCTTTGCAACTTTCTGACTGTTTTCTGTTCTTCTGCCAATCTGGTTTCAAGCTCAACAAGAAGATCTTTAGGTACTGTATTGTCCATCTGGGTTTTTAGTTGTTGCAATTCATGGGTGTGCTGAGACTCAGCTTGGTTTAATCTGGTGTTGGCTTCTAACAGCTACATTTTGAGAGAAAAAGACAGACCGGCACGCTAAGATTAGCAATACTACAGAAGAAAAACCTACCATAGCAATAAGTCAAGATATTTGCATACCAAAAATCATTCTAAAAGTCAATTCCACTCCATATGTAAAATAAATGCTAATTTTTTAAAATTAACTTTTTATCTAAAATTAAATTTGATATATAATTTAATCTTATTTGGAAACAATTTCTAGATTACAATTCAACTCATGGAATAGTGCTACACCCAAATTTGGATTCTAAGATTTGTATTTTAATTAGGCATATTGTCTAAACATTATTTATAGTATTCTTTTAGTGTACAGGTGGAATTTGACTTACAATGAGAATTGGGAATTTCTGTCAGTAAGTGATGCAGTTATAAAGGGCAACTGCATTGCTTAGCAACAGTAATCTATCAATCCCAATTGCTATTGTTAACTGAATCCCACAGTTGTTAGGCAAGGTAACTTCCTGCCAACTTCACACAACTGTGGGAAAGTCAGGAGGAAGTTGGAAGGACCATAGGTAGGTAACTGGCTGCTGCTGGGAGGGAGCAAGAGGAAGAGGGAGCAAGGGGAAGGTCAGAGACAATATGTGAGAGATGTAGTAGGGAGAGAGTAGGTGGACAGGTGTGAAAATTGGTCTGCACCGATCAGGAGATGTGTGCAGTGATGCCACACGATCAAGGAGGTTGTGCAGGAGAGCATGAGTTGATGTGTGCAAGTGAGAGTGTACCAGAGGCCTCACATAGGTCAAAGAGGGTGTGCTGGCATCCATGAGAGGCACTGCACAGGTCAGAATGGTGCACAGGGATGCAATGGGGCACATGGGTCAGGGAGGGTATATGGATTGCACAAGAGATGCTGTGTGGGTCCAGGAGGGTGCATGAAGATGCATGAGAAGTGCTGCACAGGTTAACAAAGGTACATGGAGTTGCATAAATGCCTGGCATAGTGAGTGGAGAGGGGCTGGGTAGTGTGTGTTGGTGGGGAAGATTTATCCCAGTGATCTCCCATTTTGTCTGCCAATTTTCTCATTGACTTTCTAGGAATGTGGCAAATGTGATTGTGGGGCACTTGGCAACTGGTTATTCTTGTGAACAGGGTTCCCAAACATCCATATTACAATCATGTGACTATAAGGGTGCTTGGGTAGCCAGAAATCCAAGGATTGATTGTGATCACCATTCATTCATTGCTGTTGTAACTTCAATCAATTGCTAAATTAATGATTGTAAGTTGAGGACTGCCTGTATTATTATTTACTTTATCTCTGGCAACAAATATTGTCCCTCAATCAACTAAATCATCCTAATCCTACATCACAGGTCAGCAATCTGTGGCTCTGGAGCCGCATGCGGCTCTTTGAGCCTTCCCCTGTGGCTCCCAGCCTCCTCTGCCATTTGCAGAGAGAGAGAGACAGAAAGAGGCACTTGCACTTCTCTTACACTCTGTCTGTCTGTCTGTCTGTCTCTCTCTCTCTCTGTGTGTATGTGTGTAAAAAAGAGTGGACTCACGGTGTTCTCCGACGAACTGAAAAGCTTATTTGGGCAGGGTTCCTCCCTTTGCTGCGTCTCTGCAGGAAGCAGGAAGGGCAGGAGAGAGCTAGCTAGCTCAGCTATGCTGACTCAGGAATTCTGGGAGTTGAAGTCCCTGAGTCATAAAAGAGCGGAGGTTGCCTACCCCTGAACTTGTTGGAGAACAGCTTGAAGCCAGCTTGCCAGGTGAGCAGAAGATTGGAGAGAGGGGGGAGGAGAGAAAGAGAGAGAGAAAGAGAGAGGGAGATGAAAGAGAGAAAGGGAAAGGAAAGAAAGAAAGAAAGAAAGAAAGAAAGAAAGAAAGAAAGAAAGAAAGAAAGAAAGAAAGAAAGAAAGAAAGAAAGAAAGAAAGAAGGAGGGAGGGAGGGAAAGAGACAGAGAGAGACCCTTTTGACATCTCAAATGAAGATAACACTGCATATATCCTTTTTTACCTTTATTATAGGTGTATATATATATATATGTATGTATGTATGTATGTATGTATACACACACACACACACACACACACACACACACACACACACACAATAAAGGTAAAAAAGGATATATGCGGTGTTATCTTCATTTTAGATATCAAAAGGGTTTTGCGACTCCCAGTGTTTTGTTTTCGGTGGGAAACGGGTCCAAGTGGCTCTTTGAGTGTTTTGGGTTGCCTACCCCGTCCTACACCAAGTTAAAAGGCAAGGCTAAAAGTCAAAATAGTTAGGCAAAATAGTCTTGCATTCATGATCTCCATAATAGATATGTTATCTGAATGCTATCTTGCCTTATCACAGATTTTTCTACATGAAATGCTACAGCAGAGGTCAGCAGTTGTTTGACGCCACAGGCTACATTCAACACTTGGAGGCAAAGTAGGCAGGGCCATATCACACATTTGAGATGGGAATTTGGGAAATTTGCTTTTTCTCAGCTGTAACGTGGCTATTTTAGAGCTTACACTGGTTTTCATCTGCTCTCCACCACAAAATGGTATCTGTGCAATCAGTTTTTAGAAATCATGACCAGGGGAACTAAAACGGCTGCAAAAGGAGGACTGAATATCTACCTGCAGCTCTGAGGCCTCAGATTGTCCATCACTGTAGTACGACGTTATGAAGTGTCATCTTACTCAGAACACAGTGACCTCTCTCCTAGATCAGCCTTACCTTTTCCTTCACTGATTTCAGGTCTTGATCTAGCATATCCTTTTCGCCCTGCCATGTCAACTTCTGCTGAAAATGCTCCTTTTTCAGCTCAACAGAGGCCTCCCGAAATTGCTTGGCTATCATAGCTTCTTGTTCTTTTTGTCTCTCCAGTTCAACAAACCTCTGATTCAGTATCTTGGTAGTTTTCTGACCGGCTTTATTCTTGCTGCTTAATTCAACATATTCATGGTTTAGCTGAGCAGTCCTAGCGTTCAGCTGTAAGATGTCCTCTTTGTAGCGTTTGTTCTGAAACAAGATTTCAGGCATTCAATGTTGTGATATTCATCATAATCACATTTGTGCGTACACAAAACAAGATTATAAACTACCCAAGGGATCAGGTAGAGATTTCCTATATTCAAGTAGTAGATCAATAGGGGTTGTCTTAAAACAAATGTGTCATATTGCTACAGAGATTTCTTGGAGAAAGGAAGGAGGAAAGAGGAAAACTTCTAGAACTAAAGGACTGATTGCTTTTTTTAAAAAAATACATTAACTGATTTTTTTGATGGTAGGGCAAATAATGTAAACCTATATACAAAAATATTAAATAAAAATCTATAATTCTTAATTCTCAAAAGCTTTAGGGTATTGTAGATATGATTATTTTTAAGAATAAACTTTTGAAAGTACACAGCGATCAATTTAGCGCTAGAAATTCAAACAGAGTTCATCAGACAGTTTTACTGGGCAACACATTGACTGTATTCATATAGTGTATGAATCCACTGATTGTTTAACCATGGATTATTCAATAAACTATAAACTGCCAAATCAGACTCAAACACCTTACGGATTAATACAATGTACAAATCCAGCCAGTATTTCTCAATTGAACCTTGGTAGCATTGGTTACATGGATAAGATTAGAAGTATTGATACTCAAGATTATCCAACCACTTTCTAAGGTTGCCCAATTCTTTTTAGATTTGTTTGTGTCTGGATAATTATCACCTGACTTAAGATGCAGGAAAAATAACTGCTGAAATGTATCTAGGAACTCAGCAATCAACTTTTTATGCACACAAGTTATTTTTTCCATGAGGTCCAGTGCTATCAACCCTTGGGAAGACCCATATATATTGCATGTAAAAGGTCCCTGGTTCAATCCTGATAATGTCCAAATATGAGTGGGAAAAGCTTCTGTTTAAATTCCCGGATAATTAATAAGAGTCCCATTTGAAAATAGCCAGTTTCCATATTTCAATAACTGGCAAAAGTTCTTCACAAATTCAGGCACAGATCCTTCTCATTACCTGCTACTGGATCCTTTTTTTTTTTAAAAAAAAAGGTGCCATAAATAAATCGTGCAAAACATATAATGGTTTCATCCTTCTAAAATGTCCCCCTGCCCCCTCTGCCTATTTTTGACTGAAATGTATAACTTCTTGGCTTTTGAGCTTTCTAGTACTGCACTGATTCAAATTCAGACTCTGTGAAAAGGCCGATCAAGTGGTACTCTAGCCACCTTATATATTTACCAAGTCATTTGATTCTTTTATTTCATACATCATCTTCTCTTTTTCCATTTTCAATTCATCAATGTGCTTCCTGGAAAAAAAATAATTAACTGAAGCATACTTTGCGTATCAATATTAAAATGAGATTTGGAATCACTCTAAATGGTCTTTCATGGATCTACTGTACCTCTATAATTTTAGTTTACAACACTGAACTGGCTCAAGACAGGTTTAACTCAGCCAAGTCTAATTTTGATGGAGCTAGCAGTATTCTCAAGTACAGGTAGTCCTCGACTTATAAGTGTTCATTTAGTAACTGTTCAAAGTTACAATGGCACTGAAAAATGTGACTTATGACCATTTTTCACAGTTATGACCTTTGCAGCATCTCCATGATCATGTGATCAAAATTCTAATGCTTGGCAACTGGTTCATACTTATGATGGTTGCTGTGTCCCTGGGGATCATGGGATCCCCTTTGGCAACCCTCTGACAAGCAAAGTCAATGGGGAAGCCAGATTCACTTAACAATCAGGCTACTAACTTATCAACTGCAGTGATTCACTTAACAACTGAGGCAAGAAAGGTCATAAAACAGGGCAAAATTTGCTTAACAAATGTCTCACTTAACAACAGAAATCTTGGGCCCAATTGTGGTCATAAGTCAAGGACTACTTATATCCCTTTTGCTAAGATTTCTATCTGACAATGGGTGCCTCTATAAGATGAATATTCATGGAATAGGAAATTAAAGGTAAACATTGTGTGCTCTACCCACCCATCTCTCCTGAGTCAATCTTCAAGTTGTATGTTGAAAGCCTCTGCTTTCATAAAACCTAGGTTAACTTCTATTGGCAGGCTTTTAAAAACTCTAAGAGCTTTATAGAGTTAATTATAGGTAGTCACTAGGGAGCCACCTAAAAAAAGCAGCATACAATTTATAACAAATAAAAGATAATTTCTGTGAACTAATTTTTGTTATTTTTTTGAAAATACTAAAGCTAATTAGGCTGTATATAAAGAATAACTGGAAGAAATACCAACTAACAACTTCCTAGTTCTGATTATCACATTTCACAAAAATAGCCCCATCATTTTGATACACGATGAAAAGAAAAGGCTATAAATCAGTGGTGGCGAACCTATGGCACAGATGCCAGAGGCGGCACTCGGAGCCCTCTCTGTGGGCACACGTGCCATTGCCCCAGCCTTGCCTCCCCCTGCAACTCCCTCCTCACCAGCAGCCCCCCTGGAGGAGAGAGTCACCCCCGAGCGTGGCCCACGCGGAGCAGCACAGCCAAGGACATGGCAGCCAGGCAGCGTAGACAAGACTGCCCTCACGCCCCATCGCGCAGTTGATGCTGTGGGGCGCAGGCAGAGGACGTGGCCACTATGGCACTGCTGGGCTGCCTGGGCGATCTGCGGCGGGCCCTGGAGGTGGTGAGTGGCCCTGCAGGCAGGCAGGGTGGGGGCGGAGTGGGGGTGGGGCAGGGATGGAGCAGGGGCAGGGCCAGTTTTTGGGCACTCGGTCTCTAAAAGGTTCGCCATCACTGCTCTATATTGTACTATAGACAGTTGTCTTATTACTAAGGAAAGATGTTGCTATAGTTTTTTTATTGCTCTCTTCCTAAGTTGTATCAGCAAATGGTAGCACCTGTTTGATCTTGGCTAGGCTTTGAAACCAAGCAGGGTTGTATCTAGGCTTGGCTTCAAAGGAATTCAAGGAATGTCAGGGTAGGCTGGGAAACTGAAAAGCATTATAAAAGAAACCAGTAACAAACTGCTTCTTTATTATTGCCAAGAAAACTGCATCCATGGGTCCTTAAAGACATCAGAAATTATACTTGTATATAAAAGTATACAGAAAGTATACTTTTACTTTCCATTTAAAGATGCAACCATGTATTAACATAGCAGAATTTTTCCTACGTATGCATAAAGAATTACTATTGGTACTAGCAAGTACCCATATTTAAAATCCTAAGAATATAATTCTTCCAAACCTCATAAAATGTATCTCCATTACATGCTTCATCTTCAAGTCATCTTCCAATCTTTCCCTTTCCTGGGCCAGCCTCTGGCCTAAGTTTGAAATTTCTTTAGCATAGCACTGCTCTATTTCTGCCTTCTCCTTCTGAAATCTCTTTTCTTGGATAGGATCCAGCTTCTGAACTTGGCTTTTCAAACCATCAATCACTTCATGGCATTTCATATTCAGTTCTTCCAAGGCATTCTTTTGTTCTTCCAATTCACTAATCTTGATCTTGAAACTTTGTTCAATGTCCTTCCTTTCTTTCTCAAAATTATTTTTTAATAGTTCTATTTCCCATTCATAATAATTGACCTAGAACAGTATTTTTTTTAAAAAAAGACCAGAAATCATTTCAGAATATTTATTTAAAGTTTAAATGCTTTCCTCATCTGAGAAATTTGACATTTCCAGTGTGTGGAATTTATATACAAAATAATAGCTATAAAATATAGAAAAAAACAAACACCAGGATAAAAATAAAACAAACCTGTTTGTAAGTAAAGTTTGTAAGTAAAAGAACTACCAAGCTTTCATCGGCCCAACTGCCAACATCATAGGTGATTAGGAAGCTTGCCTATATAGCTACCTGTCTCTGCATCCGGCTTCTTGAGCGCGTAATCGGCCCATTAGTTGTATTACTCTGCAATGTGCTAAGTTGATTAACATCCAGCAGCCTGTTGGTGGACCCGGTGGTTAGGTCCAGATCCTCCATTACTTTTCTAGCATGTGTGCAAGTGCTTGGGGGATGGCTGTCAAGCTGTCTCTGCCCCCCCATCTCTCCCCCCCCTCTCTCATTTTGGAGCGATCTCTCAAACTGCATTTCAAACACCCTGTAGGGCTGTCATCTTCCCCTACAGCTGCCATTGTCCCCAATCCTGCAAGGAGCAGCTGTTAAGATTTTCCTGCTCATTATTCTCCCCCCCCCCTTTTCTCTCTCCTTCTGAGCTGCTTCGGTGCATCTGTTTTCCACACCTGATCTTGACACATCGTTAGTTTCTTGTCCCCTCCCAGAGCAGCTGTTACTGCCTCACCCATAGCCCTGTCACTCCAGTCTTGCCTGTTGCTAGAAGCCGGGTGCAGAGACAGGTAGCTATATAGGCAAGCTTCCTAATCACCTAGCATCCCAACCCTGATGACGTCGGCAGTCGGGCCGATGAAAGCTTGGTAATTCTTTTACTTACAAACTTGTTTGTATTAAACAGTTTTGTTTTATTTTTATCCTGTGTTCGTTTTTTTTTATATTTTATTGATATGTGTTTTCCCAGGATTTGCATTTTTAATGTTATTAAGGAAAACAGTAGCTATCTTTAAAAAAAGAGTATCTTGTTCTTCTGGAGTTTGCATGGTTTGCAGGAATTAATTATCAATTTGTTTAGACCATACTTACTTTCCAGTATAAAATTACACTCAGAAATCCTCTCATTCAGCTATAGCATGGCTTCTATAATACTACCATTTATCAGAGTGATTTCAAAAAGCTGAACAACTTGCATAAATGAGTTAAGATATAAATCTTTACTCAGATTGGAGAAATTATGGTTGCCATTGTACCAACAAAACTTAGAAGACTGTGGCTAATTCAACAGTGCCTCCATTGAAACTACTCTGTGGAGATATTTCATGCAAAAATTTTGAGTTCTGCTGATTATAAGTGCTATACTTATTGATTAGATTCTAAGTTTTGAATTTTCCTACTCACCTTAGTTTCTAGCTCTGTTTTCATAGTTTGATTCTGTTCTTTTAATTCTTCCACCAGAAGTTCTGTTTCTATACTTACTGAATAGGGTTCAGATGTTATGAAAGTGTCATCTATAAGTAAATTTATTATTAGAAAAACATAGAGACAAGAAAATAAATACTGGTTAACATCTAACTACAAGATTTAAATTATGGAGGTTATATTCAAAAATAAAACATCTATGAGGAAAAAAAATAACCACAGCCTTAAACAATGTTGTTTGGGAAAATCATAAGGGCTGCACGCTGGAAGAATCAAGAAAAAAAATATAAATTATGCTTTTGATACTAGTATCTTACTCATAAGGGAATGAATTGGATTAGATTAGGGTTATTTAAATTCTACAATGCTATAGTGCTTGGGAGATTTTAGACAATCATCCCTTACCATTTTGGCCTGTGGCTGGTAGGTGCTGGTATCCAAGAAAATGATCATCCTTTTCAATGTTGTCTTAAAAAAAACATATTCAATGATTAAATATAGTTTAAAACTGTTTTAATATGAAATGAGAACTTGTAGCCTTCATCTTCTAGCCATAGAGCAAATCAAGATTGGATGCAATAAATAATAAAATAAATGCATCTTTAGCTTTAGCACTGAATTGTAGCAGCAGGACACCCAGACAGTAACACAGTAGTGTCTGTGCTCAACTGCTTTCCCTAACTTGAAGTGGAGGAAAAGTGTCATAGAACAGAAAACATTAAAGGCTTAAAACCCTTCTCACCATGTTGAATGGCCCTGAATATCTCCTTGCATGAAGAGTCTTTCCCATCCTGGTGAAATCCAGATGTGTTGAATCATCTTCTAGAATGTCCTCTATGTGGGCAACTCTGGGATCAGGCATGCAATACATCCAGATTTCAGCAGGATGCAGAAAGCTGTTCTGAAGAACCATGCCTGACTTGCATTACCCACCTCTAATGCTAGCTTTTTCATTTCCAGGCAAGGGCCTTTCTCCAGTGTTGTCGGTCTTCATTTTGCAGCATGCTAAGTTAGCCTTCTTTGCATGCAGCAGCAGGGATCTCAGTTTTTCCACCTCCATCTGCAGCTCATCATTCTTGTCATGCAGTTCCTATAAGCAGGCCATAAAACGACAGTGAAGCACACAGAGCAGCTACTCTTAGATATATGTGGTGGGATAAACTGCAACTCCAGGACTTAAGAGAATGTCCATATTTGCTTATAAATCATTCTTATACAATTAGGGTAACACAGAATTGGTAACTCCAGAATTGTACTTAAAAACGTCCACAAAGAAGAGAGGAAATTCAACAATCACAGAACAAATAGCCACATATTTCATCTAAGTCAGTTGTTTTCAACTCACAGCCCATGGGCCGCATGTAGCCCTGGACAGCTAGTAATGTGGCCCCACAAGATAATAAAAAAGATTAAATAATAAAGAAAATTTATTATTTACATACATTACCTATTTTATATATTTTATATGCAGCCTAAGACAATTCCTCTTCAAGCCAAAAGATTGGACAACCATGATCTAAGTTCTTTTAAATACAAGTGGTTTAATGATGAGAAAAACCAGTTTAGACAAATTTTCAAAGGTTTGAACCATCAACTGTTGCAGAATCTTCAGATAGGATGACTACCGGTAAGTCCTTTCAAGCTTGAGGACATGTTGATATCACACATTTCATTGCATCCAACAAAACAAGATAGAAGATAGAGAAAGCAACATGTATTCAACTCACTGTAATACCCTTTAACATGGGGGAAATCGTAGCAATACTGCTTGAACCAAAGATAAATATTTCAATGAATGAATCAAGCTGTAAATTCATTAATACAGCATAACATAAAGCCATGCTTCTCCCCTTTTTTCTATGGATTGAATTTTAACAAGATAGGCTGACCGGGAGAGTAATTTATTTTTTTTCTTTCAGGATTGGTGTCATGTGTCTGATTAACAAAACACTTCAAAGAACCTTCAGGCATTTTTTTAACCTAAAAAGCCTTTATTAATGTTACAGAGATGTCAGCACGGCATGGCGGAAATGCTAAGATCTGAATTTCCCTTCCTTTGCACATAACATTCCAGGCATTTCCCCTCCCCTATTTTGGGGTCATGATTCACATCTTCCAATTAACCTGGAGGGCAAAAATTCACTTCCGTTTCTTTTTCTTGGGCTTTCCTTATATTCTCCTCCCCTTCCACTGTCACCTGATTTAACTCTAAAAATACCAGACAGTTCTGCATATATTGTGAAAGCAAGAATATTCAATATTAGCAGCGTTGACATCTGGGAGAATAAAATTGCTGTTTATTTTAGGACACACATTACAATTTTAGTGAGTCTGATAGTACCCTCATTTTTGGCAATCATGTTTAAGAAGGGCATTGGGGGCTGCAGAATTAAAAACTCTCACAGCCACCCCTGGTTCCCCAACCCCCGGGCCGTAGCCCACAGCCCACTATTTGGCCTTCAGCCATTCGGAACAGGGCCGGGGTAATGCCCACCATTTTTGCAAATGGAGCTGCGCAGGAGCACCAGCTAGTTGCGCAGAACCATCCCCCCCCCCGATTCGCAAAGATGGAAAGTTGGAGAACTCTGCTGTAAACTAAATCTTTGATAACCAAACAAAATTTTAGTTTGGTTTATTATAAATGTATAATAGGCATGTTTTCTTTGTCCTGTCAAAAAGGCAGCTTCCTCTACTATGAATGAATTATTCCAGATGTTAGCCCCACTCCTATGTCTTTATTATTAACTATTACACATTAAGTGAATTTAGTCAGAATCTGCACTTTAGGCTACAATTCTGCAATCTGCATCCTTGCTTATCTTTTAATCTAATCTTGGAGAAGCCTGTTTTATTGAGCCAGTTATAAAATATTCTTTAAAATGAATCTGGGAACAAACCTGAAAAAGACCTGGAAGATACAAGATAGAGGTTGAAAGTCTAAAGCAGTGGTTCTCAACCTGTGGGTCGGGACCCCATTTGGGGTCGAATGACCATTTCACGGGGGTCGCCAAACAACGCAGTCTGCCATTTTTTCCCCCTTTTCCTTAGCTGTGCTACTCCCTTTTATTCTATTGGCTTTTGAAACCCAACAGAATAGATTCTCTTGAATAGAGTCTAATTCTATTGGCTTTCAAAAGCCAATAGGAATTGTCCAGGCTGTCTCTGCCCTGCTGAGCCTGCCAAAAGTCCCATTCTGCAAACGGTGCTGCACCAGTTGAGTAGTCCTCAACTTACGACCGGTTGAGTAGTCCTCAACTTACGAGCAGATGGGGGTCACGGCATTAAAAAGGTTGAGAACCACTGGTCTAAAGGGAGCTTTGCTGATAGCCAGTTTTTCGGTGCTACAAACACAACTCTTGCTCAGTCTCTTGAGGAATAAGAACAAGCTTAAACAGGGCTGACAAAAATGTAAAGCATCTTAAAGCAGCCTTAAAAAAAAGCTTGTCACTTTTCAGTGGTCCTTTTAATGTAATTGTGTACATGAACATTAGTTTTACTTAGAAAAAGGTTCTGCTTGCTTTTTACAATAATGTGTATTTATTGTGTATATGATTAAGTATATAAATATGGAGGAGGAACCCATGGAAACATCTTGCCATTCTAACCTACACACAGAGGTGAAGATCTAAGAGTCCCATTGGCATAAATAAGGACTTCCCTTTGAGAACTAATATAATGACTCAAATTTAAAAGTGTTATATTTCAAATCCAGTCATATAGTTAACTCAAAGGAAACGATCTTATAACAAACAAATATATTTTAATGAGAAAGATTACTTGCGTTCAAGTTGAGATTGGTGTTGCTGGAATTACATGTTTGTTCATCTTTCAAATCCTTTCCTTAGGTAAGAAGATAAAGCTCTTCATACCATCCTATAGAGAGACCTTCCATGGCCCATGCTTGTTACAGACAAAGAGATTCCCAAGTGGCTTGTGTCCAGGAAGTCTCCCCAAGACCTTTGGAACTCCTCCCACTGACCCATCCACATACCTAGCATTTAACCCAATAACTGCCAGGCCTTCCAACATAGAACTGGGCCATAGAGCTATATGGGTCATAGAGCTCTATGGGCCAGAACACTCCCCGCTTGGAAATTTATATTTCCACTATTAAAATAGTAAAAACGTAGCATCAAGGCATGCAATACTCATTGTGGTTAACTTGTGACTAACTAGGTAAAAACTTGGTATCAAAATGCATAACTATAAGGTAAACATAAAACATGCACAATTATGAAAAAGGCAAGTGTTACATCAAACAATGCATAAGACAATACATAATTTGAGGTTTAATCTTCTGGTTCAGTCTTTCTCAGCAAGGACCAAATCGGTGATCAGCCTGGTACAAGTGTCTTTGAGTCACGACCTGACTCATGTGGCTTCATGATCTGGATCTCAGCTGGGTAAACTAGTTCGTCAAGTGGGTGGGCCCGGTGCGCAGGAACCGTGGGCCAATAGTTCTGGTATGCAGTCTTGTCTCCCAACGAGACAAGGTCTTCTTCCTGTGAAGGAAACTGGAACCGAATCTGGAACAGAAAAAACTGGAACCCAAGCTTCTCGGGAATGAGGGGAACTGGATTCACAGGATACTCAGGAACTGAAAAACCTGGAAAGACATAAACAGCTGGATCTGGAAACTCAGGAACAGCTGGGGCTGAAGAATCAAGATCAGGAACATCAGGAAACTCAGGAACAGCCGGAGCTGAAGAAACAGGAACAACAGCTGGGACAGAAGGGTCAGGAACAGCTGGAACTGAAGAGGTTCAATTGTCTAAGCTGGTCTTCCTTAGCAACAGGACTCGGTCAGTGATTAGTCTGGTGTAGAGCTAGTTGCTTGTCGTGATTCCATAGGCAGCGTCTTAGGTTCTAGGTGTAAGGCTGCTGGGTGCCTGTCGCTGTTGCACAGGTGGCATTTCACATCAGCTGTGCAGTCCTTGGCTATGTGATCCATAGAGTCACAGCATTTGAAACATATCCTATTCTCTTTGAGTAGGGTCTTTCGGTCATCTAGGGATTTCTTCCTAAATTCTCTGCAATCATTTAGAGAGTGAGAGAACTTGTGTATCGGGCAAGTTAGGCCTTTGGTAGGTGGATGAGGGTTCGAAAGAGCGCTTCTCGGTGTTTGTTCGTGTGGAGACTTCTTTGGGGAAGGCGTGATGTCAGTTTTATACACCAAAGGTATGGTTCTGTCCGTAGCTTGGGAAGAACTTTGGTTGGGGCCGAAGTTGTCATTTGTTGGCTCGAAGTTGCTGGCATTATGACGTAGTTTTGCTTGGTCGGTCACAAATTCAGCGAGTACAGCGAAGGCGGGTGGTGCGTTAGGGTCTTGGTTCCTGTGGGATTCTGATATTTTGGCCCATTCATCCCTTGACTGCTTTGGTAGTTTTCTAACTATAATCCTTTGCTTCTCGAACTGATCGAGGCAGGTAAGTTTTGGCATGTTGGGTTGCTCGCGAACTGAATGTAGCATCGAGAGCGTGTCTGCAAATTCCAACATCTGGGTGTGATCGTCAATATTGATGTTAGGGAAGGTGTAAATGCAATCCAAGAGCGACTTTTCTGTCAGTTCATGCCCGCCATACCGCTCGTCGAGCCTTTCCCAAGCTTTGTGAAGGGCGGTAGCTGGGTTGCCCAGGTGAGCTAGTTGAGTGTTCTCTACTAATCGCGTGGAAGCCGGTCCCAGCCATGTTTTCATATGTCCGAGCGTTTCGCTCGATGTTATAGCTTCATCTTGGATGGCGGTTTGGAACGTGAGCTTCCACAATACGTAGTCCTTTCCCGGTTTATCGGGGAATTTGTGTACACCCTTGGATGCCAGATCTAGTTTGCTTCTGTAAAGTCTCATAGGGGTGTAACCGGGTGGCGATGGTACCTCGCTTCCAGGAGTGGGGGCGTGTGCCATGTTTGGCTGGTAACTTCCTTCGGCGTAATGGTGGCTGGGTGTATTTTGCAATGTCACGTGCAAGGGACCTTGTTGGCTTGGTCTGAACTCTGCTGCTCTGGCATTGAGCTGAGGGAGCCCAGGCTCTTGCTTGCTCATGTGTTGGAAGGTCTGTGTTTCTGATAGAGTGTAGCTAGCTTCCTGGTAGGCTGTCAGAGCTGATGCTCGAGGCTGTCTTCTGTGGTCAGGAGTGGTGGCAGTTCCTTGGGGCGCTTCCTCCTGTTGGTGCAGCAGGGACTCTAGTGACTCTAGCGTGGCTCTAACTCTTTCAATCTGTTCCCTGAGCGACGGCTGGTGCTGCTGTAGGGCTGTTGGCGCTATAAGTGGATCCATCCGATTGCCATTAGTGGTATGGTTTGGTGGGTTCTGTGGGGTAATAACGGTGGGAAGATCTTGGGGCACTCCCCGCTGTGCAATTGTCGCCGTTGCTGGGGTAATAATGGTGGAAAGATCTTGTGGCCCTCCCCGCTGTGCAGTCATTGCCATTGGTGGTAATCCCATCAGGTTTGATGTGGCAACAACGGCGGGAGGATCTCGTGACCTAGGTGTCGTGACAACAACTCTGCAGTTGACCAGCGAATCAGGTCGTTGAGATTCCTCTGTTCGTCTACTCGGTCTTGGGGGGCTTGTGGCTGGCTGTGGTGCTCTCATCTGTGCATTCTGGAATGTGCTTTGGTTGTCCACATAGGTCTGTACGCGGCTACGACGCTCTTCGTTTTCCAGTTGTTGTCTGTCTGGCAAGAAAGTGGTGTACTGGAGTATTTTCTGAAGGCCTTCCGCTCTAGCCATTTTGTCTGCCATAATTCTTTGGCATTGAGTAAGTTCAAGTTCGTTTTGGGCATCCTTTCTTTTGGCTACTATTTTGGCTTCCTCAAGTTCTATGGCCGACAACTCCTTCTTTTTCTGCCTCACCTCTTGTGCCACACGAAAGACAGCTTCAGCGGCTTTAGCATCTAAAATTATTTGCTCTTCTTGTGAAATTCTGGATGCTCGGCTGCGACGGGAGGATGCCTTCGAAAGGCGGGAGGCGTCTGTGACATGTGATTGTTGGGACACGCTAGAGTGTGCCCTGGACATGTGGCGGAAGGATGAGGCCTTTCCAGAAACCTGAGATGGATCTGCGTGCGATCGTTGGGATGGTGCATGTGAAAGGCATGAAACTTCGGACTCGGCTCTGTCAACCGGACTGCCTCTGTGGTGAGGCTCGGGCTGTGGGGAACCCTGTGAGCTTTCTAGAAACTTCTTGCGTTCCTGGTTTAATAGCTGGAGGCTTTGCATCTCGCTGTCGACACTTGGGTCTCTTAATTGTTCTTGAACGTCCTTGAGTTGCTGTTCAGAGTCCATCCATTGCACATAGGCGTCTTCCTTATCTCCTTCCACTGCGTGTGCCCATTCTGGGGAGAGTTCCTCCTTCTGTTCGTGGTAGAGTTTGTATAATCTCTCCCAGCTTCTTTCATGGCGCCTGTGGATGGTGTGCCATTTCTCCATCAGATGTGAGTGCATGGCTTCTGTGAGCTTTCTGCATTGTCTAAGATCGTATTGACCCTGGGACGTTTTGGGCTGTGTTGAGGCTTGGGTTTCAGCCTCAGCATACTGGTCAATGTTGGCTGTGTGCAGAATCTCTCCTGGACTGACTGGTTGGGGTGTTTCAACTAGGCTAGTTAATTGAGCCCCTTTGTCCAAATCAGTAAGACACTCCTCCATGGTTAGGGTAGGTGTCCTTCTCAGCTATTTTGAAGAGAATTTGAAGAACCTCTCTCTTTGACCACTAGGGGTCGCTACTTGTAGATCAGCTTCTGAGGTGCTGTCTGTGGGTGGAGGTGCCACTGGGTGCGTTCTCTTGTGTTTGTGGGTACTTCAGTGCAGTTCACCCCTTCACCACTAGGGGTCGCTTGCTGTGGGTCAGCTACCAGGGTGCTCCGGCTTCGAGGTTCACCCTTTGTCCACTAGAGGGGCTTCTCTGGGTGCGGTTAAAGGCTTGCGTGTAGAGCTTCCTTCAACCACTAGGGGGCGTCTGGAGAAAGGCTAGCCAAATTCTTCCTATTACCACGTTACTGCTAGTGAGCCACTGAGTTGCAGGCCGGAACTCCGGGTCATCAGCTGTGATAATGAGCGAAGGCAATTGGCTCTTGCTTCCTGTCTCTCAAGCTGGAACAGCTTAGCCTTCAGCTTGAGTGAGTGCTTCTGATAAGATCACTCTGTGCCCTCTGTGGGGTGTTGGTGGCTTGGGATAACTTTAAGTAGCTTGTACTTTAACTAACAGATTTGCTCTGTTGTGTGCTGAATTAATTGTGGCTGTTGTGACTCAGCTAGAAAAAAAAAATTGCATGACCACCAGGGGGTGTTTCTGCAATAAACCTTGCTTTTGTCTGAACTTTAGAGGCAGTCATTAAACAGTTCTTTGTTTCAGGCTGCGTGATTCACTGGCAAAGAGGGGAAGGGGAAAAGCCCAAGCTCCTTTTGGTGTTAAAATTCAAACTTTTCATGCAAGAAACAAAGTAATTTTGAATCAGATACAAGGCACTTTTCATTTTGAAAGTTAGCTAGCAAGTGAATTAGCATAACAAAACTTCTGAATCACTCCTTGAGAGCTGTCTTTTACACAGACACGGCTTTGCTTTGCAGGCTCTTACAAGCATCAAGAGAATCTTTACTTGCTTGGAGGTTTATGCAGAGAAAAGGCTGACCAATTTGATTCTCTTTCTTCAAACTGTTGCAGCTTTGAGAGGAGAATTAATCTTTGCCAATTTACTATTTGCTTTCAAAAGATGGCACAAATTATGACTTTATCTTCTTACTATAATGACTCAAATTTAAAAGTGTTATATTTCAAATCCAGTCATATAGTTAACTCAAAGGAAACGATCTTATAACAAACAAATATATTTTAATGAGAAAGATTACTTGCGTTCAAGTTGAGATTGGTGTTGCTGGAATTACATGTTTGTTCATCTTTCAAATCCTTTCCTTAGGTAAGAAGATAAAGCTCTTCATACCATCCTATAGAGAGACCTTCCATGGCCCATGCTTGTTACAGACAAAGAGATTCCCAAGTGGCTTGTGTCCAGGAAGTCTCCCCAAGACCTTTGGAACTCCTCCCACTGACCCATCCACATACCTAGCATTTAACCCAATAACTGCCAGGCCTTCCAACATAGAACTGGGCCATAGAGCTATATGGGTCATAGAGCTCTATGGGCCAGAACAACTAATATTCTGACCAGATATGGTGGAATGTAGTCTGAATTCCCAGGCAGAAGGGGCTGCATTCCAAAGGAACAAGAGACAGCCAAGTTTAGATAGTTTGATTGAGAGGAAGAGGGTCAAGTTAGCGCCTCCCTAGAGGTTTCTCAGAGTATATTTTTAAGTGGTTTGCTTTAGTTTAGCAATATTTTTTACTATAAATGAGGAACAATAAAGGAAACTGCTTAGAAGTAACTCTCTATGTGTTTCTTGGTCTTTGGGCCTGATACCAAAGCACACAAAACTTGGGAGTCTGCCAGTAGGTACAGGTCAAAGCACATTTGCTAGCTTCTAAAGATTCTATTCTGTGTGTAAAAAAACATTTCCCTACATGAAGAACAAAGATTCCTTGTGCAATAAAAATACTGAACTGAGCCCAAAGAATTTTCTTCTAAATTCAAAAGCCCATTTTATACCAAAATTCTCCTAAACATTTGCACATCCATGCAAGAAGAGCACAGGGAATCCTTTTTATTTAACATGGAATGTAATGCTATCCCAGTTATGGAATTGTTTCGTGTAATCATATTTGTTTAGAAATGTAGGTAGTCCTGGACTTGCGATCATAATTGAGCCCCAAATTTCTTTTGCTAAATGAAACAGTTACTAAGTGAATTTTACCCCATTTTACGACCTTTCTTGTCACAGGTGTTAAGGGAATCATTGCAGCTGTAAAGTTAGTGACACAGTTGTTAAGTGAATCTGGCTTCCCCATTGACTTTGCTTGTCAGAAGGTGGCAAAAAGTGATCACGTGACTCCGGGACACTGCAGCCATCATAAATGTGAGTCAGCTGCCAAGCATCTGAATTTTGATCACATGACCATGGGGATGCTGCGATGGCCGTAAACGCGAGAAATAAGTCATAAGTCACTTTTTTCAGTGCCATTGTAACTTTGAACAGTCACTAAGTGAACTGTTTTAAATCGAGGACTTCCTGTAATGTGTGAACATGGGTATGAAATGATACTATTATTTTCCATATTTTATTTTTAACAATCCTTTAAATGAAACTAAACTACATAATGCACACATAATCAGACAGATGTTAGATCAATACATGCAAGACCAGAGACAGCAATTTAATTTATAAAAAAAAAATCTTAAGAAACTGAAAATCCCATGCACAAGATCTTTAGCTTCCTTTTTTTCTTTTTTTAGCAAAATAAATATTTGTTTCTATTTAAAATCTGCCCCCATTTTGGCAAGCTCTAGCATTATAGTACAGCTGTTGAACCGAAAACACATATTCAAATATCAAACCCAATCAATTCTCAGAGGAGTCTGAACTTGCTAGAAATAATTGGTTATTTCCTTAGATAGCGAGGGACATATAGCTGGAGTTTCTGAATGTTAAGCTGATTACATTTAATACAAAGAGTATTCAATTGTTGTGTATATCATAAGGTACTTATGATATACACAGCTATTTAAAAAAATGGCAAAGTTTTCAAGGTTATCATAACACTATCAGATTGAAAGGCATATTCATTACAAACACAGAACATGAGCACACTTGGAAATGCAATGCTCACCTTCACCCTCTGTGATTAGGTAGGCAGCATCAAATTGAATGTATGGGGAAACAAAAAAAGGGAAGGGAATTGAGTGGGTGATGGAATGCATGAAATAATACACAGAGGGTTCTTTTTATAGAACTCTCCATCAGCCTGCCACTTACCAATGGATCATTATGATTTCTTTCCAGAAAAAAGCAGAGGAATGAAAATAACAGTAATTGAATATTTCCAGATATACATCAAACAACTAGGCATAGTGTTCTTAATCACTGTTGTAATGAAATATGTTTTTTTTATGTAGCAGCTGATATGTTATTAGAGCTTTTCAGCTTTTAAAATTGGAGAGTTACAAATCTTTAGGTATCAGGGCATTTACACATTTTCTGATTTCAACCACGTCATGTATCATCTATGGCAGTGATGGCGAATCTTTTAGAGACCGAGTGCCGAAACCGCAACCCAAAACCCACTTATTTATTGCAAAGTGCCAGGGCTGCATCAGCATTGTGGTGCCCTCAGGGGGGACAGGGAGGCGCCTCTGAATGCCGCCTCTGGCACACAAAAACCGGGGGCACAAAAATGGGCCACTGTGTTGCAAGGTGCAAAAACAGCTGTCACCATGCCGCAGTGTACAGATGCAAGGCTCTGCACCACATAAGAACGTGGCAGGGCTAGTGAATATCATACAGGCACTAGCCCCGCCCCATTTGCAGCACGTGCGTGCTCGTAGCCCCGTGCGCACATGCATGCATATAAAATGCTTCCCCCTCCTTTTTCTTCCAGTCCACCAATCGACAATGGTTGGTGACCTCTGCTCTACCACCTCTATTAGAGCTTGCTAGTCGGCCGCTTTGCCTTTGTGCTGGGTGGGGCTCCTGCTCCGGGCGGCGGTGGTGGCCTGATGGACTTGCTGCTGGCGACGGTGGCGCACATGCCAACAGAGAGGGCTCTGAGTGCCACCTCTGTCACACGTGCCATAAGTTCGCCACCACTGGTCTATGGAGATTCTCAGTCATCCAGGTCATGGTTGTCCCAAAGATGATTTTTCAAAAGGCAACTGAACATTTTGCTTCAAGGAAAAACAAAGTCCAATTGCCTTTTGAAAAAGCACCTTTGGGACATCATTTATTATTCATTCTTTCATCCAAGGAACCTCCAAGTGATATATATACAGAGCCTAAATTGTCTTGTATCCAAAAGATACTGACATGTGCAACATTTATCTTAATCTCCTATATCTTTGCTACATTCCTATACCACAGCTTTCTCAAGACTTCTTCCCCTCAACTCTTCCTTCCTCACTCATCTGAGGTGTGATCTTCCTTTATTCTCTATCATCATAATGTCTCAAAGATTCTTTTGTATGGGTTACTGATTTAATCCACATTCATTTGGCACCCATTTATTCTTGACCCCATGTCCTCATATCACACAAATGTTTTGAATAATCCATTCCCACTCCATAAAATCTACTTTTATGCTTTCCACTCTCATTTTCATATAACAAACTGGGCAAAATTATACTGTTCCATACAGCTATTTTGCTGTTTTGTATCCTAAGTGCAGCAGTATATTGCATATATAGTACCTCACTGTATATGGGTGGAAGGTAGGTTAATATTATGTTAATTTTCAAGGTAGCCTCCATATTAAATATTAGCTTGGCCTGAACTGTGGCATCACTATTTAGCGAATTGTGGCCTATTGGCCAAGAAGTGTCAAAACTGATTATTATTGTTGTCATTATTAATAGGGATTGGTGCACATAGCACCAATATAACTAAAATTTATAACTTGGTCTATTCTTTTTGTATCTTACTAAAGATGCCTTAATAAGAAATCTTTTTATGAAGTTTACATACCAAGAAAATTATTTGAGTGCTCAATGGGTAACTATTTTTTTCAGGTTGGCTAGCTGAACAAACAGTATCACCTGATATAAGACAGTTTTCTTTGTTCCTATTTCAAAACTGAGTTTTTGCAGTTACTGTATATATTGTTCTTCATTGAAAAAAATTACACTGCTGTTTATACACTTAAAATAGATGTTAATAAAGAAAATATGAGATCCAACACAAACATATTATACAATAACGATAATAAAAAGTATCAGCAGAATCCAAGGGCTGAATAAAAGGTGCATCCTAGCAGCTACAGTATTAAATGTGACTGATGATAACCAGTCATCAGTAAGAATTCCATAAAATGGGTTCTACAACCAAGAAAGTTCTGGGTCAGATAACTGCCTCCCAGGTACCAAGTACTAATAGCACTCTAAGCGTGGATCCTTTCAGTGACTGCAAAAGAACACATGGTAAGAGACTTAGGCTGAAAAAAAAAAACAATTTACCTAGCAGACTGCATGGAACAATCTTCTTGGCATTAAGTGGTTTTATATCTAGATTAAGACGGTCCACTTTTAAGATTCTGTGGGCAATCTAAGAGCATCCACAAATCATTGGGAGAAAACACAGCTTTCCTTTCTGAAAGTCAAGAATCCTATGGTTCTTTTGGTGCCTAAAAATCTGAGAACAAACTATTAGGATCTAAACTAAATTTTATTTTTGATGTGCGCCATTGTGCCCATAGTAAAAAAAGTGACAATAAAGGTTATCTTAATCCCTTAATCTTATCATGATTCAGGTGGATTATCTCAATAGGCAGGAACATTAGTTTTATATTATTGTACAATAGATTTATTAAAATTCAATAGTAAATGATTAGCAAAAAGGTTCCATTCAGTCGTTAGTAAAGGGAAGAGGGACAAAGTTGTGAAATATGGACAATTTCCTTCCTGCTCTGACCTTCCACAATGCATATTTATAAGGTTAAAAATAAACCACTTACCCGACATTGCAGTTCATACTCCTGAATGATTTCAGCAAAGCGTGCTTCTTGATCAAATAGCTCTGTATTGTATGGATCCAGTAATCCCAGCTGAAGCAAATAAGATTTTTTTTTAAAGTAGATTGTTCCAAAAATGGAAAGAAAACCTTTGAAGTTAGCTCTAAAAACACTTTGAGTTACATTTTATTTTTAATTTATTTCATTTATAATACTATCCAAGTCTACAAAATAACTCTGGGCAGCGTAGAGTAAAATCAAATCTAATGTACCAAAGTTACAGCAGAGTTTTTGTTGAGAAGCAGGTCAAACTTGTACACAAATCATTATACCGGAGGGGCTTTTTAAATATTTTTGTCTTTTTATTGTCCTTACAGACATTTTACCAATGCTTACCTGAAAAGTAAGAGATTGCTTTATATAAATACATATGTAACCATATTCAGAATAACTATTTAAAAGAAATTATTAAAAAAAATTTTTAAGAAGGACTAAACCTTTTTAAGGCAGCATTTTTCAGCCAAAAGACTAAAAAAAATTAAAATTCTTCATGACGACAAACAAAAAAGTGAATGTTTATGTAGGAGATACTATGGCTACAAGGCTATACATACAAGACTCCAATTCACTTGATTTTCACATGAGTCAAATGGGCTTAGATTAGAAAAAGCAAAAAAGATCTCTTTTCATCAATGTGGAATTACCTTGTCTTTCAAAATAAAATTAAGATCTCTTTGAAGTTTCAAAACTTGATTTTCAGATTCACTCAGTTTTTGAACCACTTCAGCAACTTCATTCTGTAAGCGACTATTTTCCTTTAAAAATACATTCACATGAAAGAAAATGATAGAAAGATAAAATCCATGATGTCAAGATAAATTTTGCAACTCTTCAGCAAGAAAGCAGCAGCACATTAAATATAGGAAAATCTATGTTCCAAACCAATATTGTCAAAAACTGAACTTTGATTAGTGCTGGGTGGGCTACTCACCATACCAGTTTACAAAGCAGAAAAAGTGTTGCATGTTTGAATGCTCTTCTGTGCAACAATGATCTACCATACCTGAACTGGAACGAAGGAAAAGCAAGCTAACATCTCCGTATTTGATCTGCTACAGGTAGTCCTTGCTTAACAATCACAATTTGGCCCAGAATCATTAAGTTGTTGTGGTTGTTCAATGGGTCACCATATAACCTGACTTGACTTTATGACCATTTTTACAATTGTAAAACAAGTCACTGCTTTGTTGTTGAACCACATGGTTGTTAAGCAAATCCAAGCATATTCAATGTTTTTTATGTTTTCTGCTAGAAATCATAGTCACATGACCATGGATACTAATTAGTAATAAATGTGAGACAACTGCCAAGCATCCAAAATGCATTCAGGTGACTTGTGGGTGGTATGGCAGCCTTAACTTTGAGGATAGATCGTAAGTAACTTTTTTTTAGTCTGTTGTAACTTTGAATGGTTAAGTGCAGACTATATGTACTTTTGCACAATTAGAGAGCCTGTACAATGAAGAACTGAGTAAATGAGTTGGGGGGGTTGGTTTTTTCCCCGCCACATCTACACTGTGCATATGCTGCAATTCTGCAGCCTTAATGGATGTAGAATTCCATTCCTGAACAAGCCCAGCTTTCAGTCAATCAAAAAAAAAAAAAAAAAAACAGATCAACATTTGTCTCATGGCTGTGAACCTATAACTGGCTGGTGAAACTTCAGAAGTTTAAGCTGGTAAGATTTGCCTTGTATAGGGAAAGAAGTATAGTTTACTCTTATATCTTTTTTTTTCCTTACCATTAACAGTGGGCCTAATTGTACATCTTGAAAGAAAATGGACATAGAGTCAAGCTTAATTTCTGAGCCTTGGAATTCAACCTTCTTCAATGTGATATTTTACTTGTGGTCAAGAATCTTCAGTCTTAGTACTATGGCTTAGCCGTTCTGAGCATAAGACAACAGCCCAACCCCCTACCTTGATCATCAAAGTCAGTTTCTTTCTTAGGATACAGTCCTCCTCTTGAAGGTACCTGAAATCTGCTTCTAACCTGGTTCTCTGATGGTTCATTTGTTGCATGAGCAATTCCTGTTCCATCTTGACTTCAGACTTTATCGTCATTAGCTTTCCTTTGAAATCTTGCTCAAGAGCTCTGTAATACAGGAACATCACAGCTGAGAATAGCAAGCCCATTTATGATCTCAGATTTAAGTATTAAACTGAAACACATTTTGCAATATATATATCTCACACTTTGAAATAAAAGAAATTATTTTAATATTTTTATTTATCAGTCATAACCTATCCTCCATTTGCCATCATAGGTTAGAAACAGTTCAAATGAAGAAATGTCTATAGAAATCAGATCAAGGCTTTTTTAAAAAAATGATAATACTTTTTAAAATTATTCAAACAAGAACTTGGATTTTAGGATGATTAGATCAAATTCTATTGATAATTAATTTATTTTGCCATTTTGTCATTTCTTTTCCCATAAGAATTAGATATCTTATAAAATATTTATGCATATATATTTATACTTTGTCATATTGTACAAATAATACCTTATGAAATAATTTAAACAGGAATAAAATATAATTCAAATTAAATAACAATGATAATGAATATTAGAATGTGGAGAAAATAATTAAGACACCATACATACTACTTAGAAAGGGGATAGGTATGAAAGAAAGACTGCCTTGATAGAAATACAGCAAACCAACTCTTTGGATAATTATAGAATCATCATTTTTATCTGACTGTCTATAATAAGAACCCTTAGTATTTTTATTTGTATAACTGTATAATAACTACTTTTCCTTTGACAATAATCACCTGAGTTTACTCTCATTGTGATGCTCCAGAGCACTATGATTATCATCTACCTCCTTAAAAAGCTGCCAATTCCTCTTTTTAGTCTTTTCCAGATCAGCTCTTGCTTTATTTCTCTCACTGAAAATCCGTTCCACTTGTGTTCTAAAAAGAAAGAAAATGTGCTATTTACAACTTCTCCAAATTCCATTTGTGCTGATTCTGTTAAGATATCATAACTCTGCAGACATAAGTATAAATCTAACATATACAATATAATCTCTGGTGACATGTGAAACTACTTAGCTGAACAGCTATCTCACGTAACAGCACTGTGCATTTGTACATACAGATGTGGTCTTGATGCAAACAACAATTAAAAAATAGGCAGTCTACAATGATGATTCTGAAATTTCTACACACATACTAACACCATTATTCTCAAAAGCCAAAACAAAAACTACTTACTGTAGATGATGAAGTTCATGCTTATAAGAGGCAACAGCTGCCTGCTGAAGTCCATTCTTGGAAGCAATTAATTCATCATCAAGGATCATAGAGAGCTCTAGAAGGTTCACTCGTTCCTCCACATTAAAATCAAGACTCTATAAAAAGACAAAGTCTGAAAAATCAAGAGTAACTAAATCCTAAGAGTCAGCAATCCCTTAAATTATTATTAATATAGCATTAGAATGTTGGCATTAAATAAATATTAAAGGGTAATAGTCATTGGACTATTTAAGGAATTGGATTAAAGATTCAAGGAAGAATGGATGAACTGTTTAAGACCAGGAAAGATATTAAACAAGACTAAAGGACAGTAAGAAGTGCAAACTGTTAAAGCTGTGTTGTCAGAAAAAAAAACTTTGCAGATTTGACATAAAACTATTATATTTGAGATAAAACTATTAAAGACATAATGATTATGATAGGAAATTGATGGCAAATGAGTTAAACAAATGAGCTTGTATGAACATGAGCAGAGAAAGTAAGAAAGGGATTAGAGGTAGTCCTCAACTTACAACAATTCATTTAGTGACCATTTGAAATTACAACGGCTCTGCAAAAAGTGCTTATGACCATTTTTCACACTCTCAACCGCCGCAGCATCCTGATGGTCACATGATTAAAACTCAGGTGCTTGGCAACTGACTCATTTTTATGATGGTTGCAGAGTCCTGGGGTCATGTGATCCCCTTTTGCAACATTCTGTCAAGCAAAGTCAATGGGGAAACCAGATTCACTTAACCACCATGTTACTAACAGTTATTCATTTAACAACTGTGGCAAGAAAGGTTGTAAAATGGGACAAAATTCACTTAACAACTCTCACTTAGCAACAGAAACTTTGGGTTCAATTGTGGTCATAAGTCAAGGACTACCTGTATTCCACGAATTTCTGGAGGTACCAAAATTAAATGACTTCCATACTAGTTTAACCTTGCATAAGATTCTATCTTAATTCATATTCAGGTAGTCCTCAGTTAATTACCATTAGTTCAATGACCGCTCCAAATTACAACATTGCTGAACAAGTGATATTTATGACCAGTTCTCAAGTTCTGGCTATCCTAGCACTACTGTGATCACATGATTGTGATCTGGGAACTGGCTTGAATGTATAATGGTTGCAGTGTCCTGCAGTCATGAGAAGATTGTTTGTGATCTTCCCGGCCTGCTCCCCACAAGGAAAGTCAAGAGACCTTCGCAAATTCATCAATCAGACTGAGTTAGGCTTACCCTTCCTTTCTTTCCATGTCTGGTCAATGGCAGATACACTCAGTCCCAATCATATTTCCACCCATTTTTCTTATCAATATAAATCCCTTATTATGAAAAACATCATGCTAAGAATTCCCAGGAAAATCACCAAAGAACAGGTACACAGATACCTTTAAAATCTCTTTGCAGTTTTCAACCCCTTCCCAGGCCCAGATGGAGACAACTTGCTCCACACTTGCAAAACCACTGCCATCGTTAATGCTGGAGAAAAGATTCAAAGCCGCTGTGTTAGATAAAAAAGATGGAGTTGCGGTTTGTTGTCCATTGTCTTTCAAAATCTTCATGATGGAGGAATAAAACAGCGGTGGAGAGAGGAAAAGTAAGTGAATCAGTTTAAATGAATGGGGAATAAACATTTAGGAAAGAATTTAAAAACAACATGTAGGTACATCAGAAAATCCTAAACTCATTATTTAGCTACAACATCTGGCTGAATTTGTCCAGAATGGGGAACTTAGCAAGGCTGTGCCTGTTATGTGCTTTATGAGAGATAACCAGTGAATTCCAGGTTTATTGGCTAGATTAGGAACTTGGGGAAAAAACACATTAAAGGAAACTAATGGCGATTCTGTATTACTGCCAAGAACGTTGCAGAAAATATCAATAGGAGCCAAGCCTAATTTGAGAGAACTTTTATTACAAAATTTAATTTGTAGAAACCCACTCAGATGCAGTAAATACTGTTATCCTGTGTGGGTTTGGTTTGGAATTTTTTTTTCTTTTAAATCAGCTTTGGAAATCCGGTTTTTCTTAAGCAGAACACATAATCTGGATGTATAGATTTAGGTGTTTAAGATTTCCTGCACTAGTGGGATATATTCAACCACACACTTGGGCAAAGGGCTAATGAGACTGACAAAGTAGAGAAGATCAATTAATAAGCCATAATACATTTAATGACATACAGAGCATCCACTGCATCTAACAGATAAAATAAATTAAGAGAAAGTCCAATAATTTCATCATATTGGCCAAAACTTCCCCTGCAGGCTGTTGGGCCCGAGCCACACATTGGATCGCACCCAACACAAAATCTTCTATGATTCTGTCATGCTGTATAATTTATACTACTTTTCCTTTCTCCAGGTTGATCCTTATTTTTATATATGCTTCTATTAGCAATAACATTTCAAGCCCTGTCCTACTCTAGGTATACACTTCTGAAAGTATGAAAAAATATGCCAACATTGTGAAATACAGTTCTAGGTCATTATTTGTCTTGATTTTAGCTTAGCAAGATATGCAAATTCACCCATTATAATCTACTGCTACATATGAACCATGCTACTACCGCTTATTACACAGAGCTCTATTTAAAATACTTTAATAGCACTGTTTACGATTCCAACCAATGGAAAAAATAGGTTTTCTGCTAGATAGCAGCCCGTCATAAAAATCATTAACACCAGTCTGTATGAAAATGCAGTACCTGGAAGCCATTTGAACATTCAAACATTTTCCCTTTGGAACCAAGAATTTTACAAAGAAAATATTATTTAGAATAATTACCTGATTAGGGTGTGATCTTTGCCTTTTTGATTTAAGTGGTGTGGAAGAAAAAGGACAAGGAATGTAGATATGGCTAAATAAGCCATGCTGGAATTCCTTTAAGCTTACTCTGCCATCTCCATCACTATCCAACTTGTAAAATAATTCTTCAAGTTCCTATAGAAAACATAAGGTTTTTAATGTATTGTTATCAGAATCATTCATTTAAGTTAAATGAATTAATTGTGGAATAGAGCAGATTTTCACAGAACATAAATTAGTATTCTAAAAGGCTTAGTTAATTCAACAAGCAGGCTCTGGTTCTCATAATCCGGATAAAATCTAACAAAGTCTTCAATCAAGGTTAAACATTTAACCATCACATGCTGTAACAGTTTAGCAGTGGGCTCTTATCACAAAAGATTTCCAGCACTGGTGTACTAGATTGAAAATCTCACCTTTCTCTGTATAGAATAAAAATGAGAAAAGTTCTTGTTTTCTTCATTCACAGAGAAAGACATTGTCTTCCCTCAACTAAAGAAAGAGGTCATGTATTCTTTCCTCCATGCCAGAAGGACTAGGGGGTAAGACCTTCAGAGGGAAAGGCCATCTTCCTCCAAAGCCACATTCCCTGATCTCAACTAGCTTTCTGAAATAGGGACAATCCAGACCAAGGGCCTGAATCAATTTCCCACTCCGAGTCAATCTAGATTCCAATCCCCATATCATGAAATTTACTGAATGATCATAAACCGTTGCTCTTCTTTCTAGCCTTTCCTACTGTAGAAGAGAACTATGAGAATAAAATACAGGAAGGAAATAGCAGCTTGCAACAGGCAAGATATAAATGTAGCATATAGCATGTATAAAGCCTCTTCAGATTTATTTAAAATACTCATATACTATTTGGAGGCAACAATTACAATTGCTAAAGCAGTGCACAGGGAATACTTCGTACACTTGAGGCACTGCCAAAATGCTGTAACAGGTAGTCCTCAACTTACAAGCACAATTGAACCCAAAATTTATTTTGCTACGTGAGACATTTGTTAAGTGAGTTTTGCCACATTTTAACAACTTTTCTTGCCCCAGTTGTTAAGTGAATCATTGCAGTTGTTAAATTACTAACACAGTTGTTAAGTGAATCTGCCTTCCTCATTGATCTTGCTTGTCAGAAGGTCGCAAAAGTTGATCACATGACACCAGAACACAGCAACTGTCATAAATATGAACCGGTTGCTAAGCATCTGAATTTTGATTATATGACCATGCGGATGCTGCAACGGTCATAAGTGTGAAAATGGTCATAAGTCACTTTTTTTAGTGTCATCGTAATTTTGAACAGTCACTAAACGAACTGTTGTAAATAGAGGACTATCTTTATATTCCATATGTAGCCACCATTTTCACATTCAGTCATCAAGATGAGAATCTCCAAAAGTTTAGCCTACCTCTTTTTCCATCTCCTTGAGTCCAATGTTCTTACAAACAGCATATAGCTCTTGTTTGTTGAGATAGCCATTATTTCCAATGCCAAGATCTTCACAAGTAACCCTAATCTGATTCTCAGTTGTGTTCAAACACAAGGTGGACACTTCTCTAGGATTGTCAATGAGGTTATCATCCCAGGTACACAACTGACCTACAAAAGATTACTTTTACATTAGCAAGAGCTGTGCTTCTAATTACTCTCTTGTTCTTATCAAAGATTATATAAGTCCTCAACTGAAAATCAAATTAAATTTATATTCCATCTTGATTTTTTCTCTAAACTCTTAATTTGGAATTTCTATTATCCATGGAAAATATTTTATCTTTTTATATTATGCAACAAAGATATTAGTTAAATATATAATTATTAATTATACATATTTCAGTTGCAATATTTTATTTTTTCAGTAATACTCAAAAATATCAGAAACACATTATTTTATCTCCACTCTTTTCCTGCCTTTATTTAATTCTAAATATGGATGTAAAAGAAATCTACCAAGATCTGCAAGACATGGTAAACCAGAATCTATGGTAAGCTTTCTTTATTACAAACATTTCCCTAATGCTTTTTTTAAAAAGTTAAATGAATGCTGGATGGCTGTTAAGCGGTTGGCTTTGCCCATCCTTGTAGAGATGCAGGTGGATGAAGGTGAATGGAAGCTGGCTGCCCAGTATTTTGCCTTTTCTGGAGCAGTTCAGCACCATATTTTGTATTACATAAAACCACATCAGAAAAACAGAGGACACTAAAGCAGCTATGAAAGTGAACATCAAAAAATGCAAAGTAAGAATAGACTTTCTCAGGGATTTTATGTGAAATAATTATGTACACTAAATAAAACCACACTCAAAACTACTGTATTACAGAAAAATGTGGAAGATAGTGATTGTAGATACCCTTTTTATATGCTAATTCATTAGAAAACCCAACAGTTCAGAATACCACAAATGCAATTCAAATGTATACTGATTTGTCCATTACTAGCTTTAATAACCCAGCTTTCCAAGCTACATGTTAAACACAGATCCTATTATCTTTTCACAGAGCCCAGAGGAAAATGGACTAATGAGTGCCAAGCTTGGCAATAGGGAATCTACTTCAGCCCGAGAACCAGCCTACAATGGGTGGGACCAGTGTCCAAAGTGAGTGAGACAACATCCCTGCAGATGTGTGATTTTGGACCTTCCTACACACATTCTACACAGTGAGACTTTAAAATGGTCCCCACTCATAAGGGAAGCAATTTTAAACCCTTGCTATAGCACCCATGGCAATATGTAAGAAAATGGTTCAGAAAAGAGGAGCTAATTTCTGTCTGAGATTTTTTTCTCTCTAAGAATATGAATTCAGATAGGCAGAAAATGGGAAGATCAGAGGCTCTAAGATAAGAAAGAAGGCTTCCACATGGCCAATGTGGAGATTCCCACATAACTAAGCTAGATAAATAGATTTATTACTATGCTTGGATTGCCTTCCATGGATTCAGTCCATAAGTTTACCTTATCCATTCCTATTCACTCTGGCAAGAGTTGGAGAGCAGAATTTGAATCAGAGAAACTTCATCTGCAAGGAGTATACTCTGCCTTTTAATTAGAACTTTATCTTGAGCTCATCTACTGAATCACATGGCAAAAGTGGAAATTCCAGAAAATAAACAATAAAAAACAGGTTTCAGTGTTTACTACATATTCTTTTGCTGAGCCCCACCTTGGCCTTCAAAGATCTGCTGCTGCTCTTCTTTTGAGTTTTCAGCCTCTTCATCTGATTTGAGACTCTAAAAAAAGATAACAGAATTTAATGTTCTATAGATTCAGTCTAATAGCCAAAATGAAGGATAGAAAAACAACAGAAGAAAAAGCAAGGGTGAATACAATACAACTTCAAATTAACTCTGCTTCCCATTGGCATCTGACTTCTTCCAATGGCCTAACATGATATACAATATAGGGCAAATGACAATGTGTTGGAGATGTGACCTTCCTTGAGACAGTGTGAGATCCTGTGATGGTCATTAAATGCAAGGACTAATTGTAAATTTTCTTTTTCAGCACTATTATATACCACCAAATGGTTGCTAACAGAGCAATCACTAAACAAGATCTGTATAACTCATTTTTGCAGAGGCTGTCAAATTAGGAAACATCAATGCCTTTGTTGAATATCAGCCAGACTTGGGGCATTTCCTGAGCATCTGGAAGAAATCAGAATACTGAAGAATTCCAGAGACTTATCAAGTCCAAGGCATCACAAATGTAACAAAAGAAACAATTACAACACAACACATGAGAGGTAGTAAAATGTAACACATCTATTTCAAATAGCTCTTTAAATACCTCCACACTCTCCAAAGAAGTTGAACGTCTCAACTGACTTTTTACATTTGTATTTCTCTGCTCCTCTTGTAAATATTTGGGGGTTTCCAATATAGCACTTTCAAGTTCTGGCTTTGTCCGGCAGCCATACCCTTTGGCCTCAGTGATGTACTTGGGCTTAGTTCCATCTGGAATAACTGAATTGGAAATATTTTCAGTTCTAATACAAACAGTAATAGGGATAGGTCCCCTTTTCTCCACCTTCTTTTTGATCCCAAATAAAGCTCTTAAAAACATAACCAACAAACTCTGAGTTCAAAATCTTGAGCTATTGAGGGCCATTATATTGATTGTAAGCTACTTATATGTGAGTCCTATGTGCTGTTGAATAGTAATAAAAGTTTTCACTCAAAACATTCATCATGGACTATGCCCAGAGTTGGTGAGCACAATTGAGATGATGTCACACAGCACATATAAGAACCTAAAGCTTATTCTCTCAGGAAACTTTCTAAAGCCATCTAATTCACCAAGGTAGAACAGAATGATGGGTAAGTAGGCATTTGGATCTGATCCAACACTTTTTCTTTCTTTTTGTCAATTCTAACACCACTGCCCCAATAATCCTTCACTTTTTCCACTATTGGTATAACTCATTCCCAGCTGCTGTTCCAAGGATTTCATGCCTTACAGCAGCACCCAACTGCCGTCTCAAATTATACTTCCTTTTTCTTTCAGGTGCAACTTGTAAGTTTACTTTTTTATCTGTTATACTAAAACAGTAGAAGACATAGAAAATAAGTAAATGTCGAAATCAGTAAATACAACTGTTGAAATATGACTGCGGAGACCCAGGTTCAGATCTCTATTCAACCATGGATCTCATTATGTGATCATTATGTACGAATCTTTCATTCTCAGTGTGATCTACCTGACAGGAATATTGTGAGATAAAACAAGGGGAGACCCAGGCAAGTTGCCCTGACATCCCAAAGAAAAGGTAGAATATAAAATTAATTAGACAATCCTCTTGATAGTAGCCCATTTACACACATAAACTTTATATTAACTGACAGATATGAAAGGACATAGAGGAAACCATTTAAACATTTGTTCATGATCTTGAGAAATATATATCTCCAAAATAACTATTCTGTTTTTATCTCTGGGAATTTCATTATAGAAAGACAATTGATTTAAGTGCACAGAAGCTTACTTTTTATCATTTTCAGAAATCAGTTAATACAGACAGCCTCAGTAAGCAATCTATGGTAACTGTTTCATTAGTAATCCATCAGGCAGCAAATCATAATAAGATACTTCAATTGGTGGCTAAGCTATATCACAGTCAATCTTAAAGCAGAAAATCCAAAACAAGATAGAAGAGAATATTTGTAGCTCAGAGTTAAACTGTGGGGTGCTTGGTGCTCTCTGAGCTTGGTGGTTTTGTTGCAGACGTTTCATTACCAAATTAGGTGACTAGCCTAGCAGTGAAGAATTTACCTAGTTTGGTAATGACAAGTCTGCAAGAAAACCACCAAGCTTAGAGAGCACCAAGGACCCTATAATTCAAAACTAGCCTCTTTTCATGCATTTCATTATTCATTCACCTGGTTCCAGATAGCTGCTCTCATCATCTGAAAGGCCAAGATTGATAGTTGAAGACAATATGGTCACAAAACCTTCCTTAAATTCTTCAAAATTAACCTAGTAAGACATAGGAAGAAAAACATTGTTCAATTGTCTTGAGCAGAATAAAAAAAAAATTGTTCTCACTGCTGTGAGACTAGGTTGAAGTTGCCATAACCTAAAGATGAAGGAGGCACTTAAACAGAGAGGTCAAAAAGCCAGGAATCCTGTCTAGAACATCTCTTCAGGGAGGAAGATAAGAAAAAAACAAGTTAAGGGAACAAAAGGAAAAATGTCATTGAACCAGACAAAGGAAGCTGGGCCAGAGCATATGGAAAAAAAATACCAATCCCTTTAGGGATATAAGGCATCTTGAAGCCTGTCTACTCCTTAGGTCATTTTTTTTAATCCAATAGAGCAGGGGTGTCAATGTTTACTACTTACACCAGCTTTTACAAGAGGAACACAAGTGTAGCTTGTAGTAATCCCAGGAATTCAAATATTGCTGATTTTGCATGAAATCCAATGTATGTAACCACATTACAGAGATCAGAGAGAGAAAGAAAAGCTGAGCATAGTTTCCTGCGGCTTCATGAGACCTCATAAGAACTGACTGATATAAACATACTAGGCAGTGATATAGTTAGACCCTGCTTGAGTAGGGGTAGTTGTCTTAAATTTTCTTTCCAGCTTTCTGATATAGAGGAATGATGGCTGTAACATCTCTGCCCTTCTAATTCTGCCATATGCAGGATTTGCTGCATCATCTAGTATACTAACACTGGGTAAATAACTTTCTCAAGATCAACATCACATCTGATTTATTATAAGGAAGAGATAAGAGGGAACTTAAGCATATTATTTATTTAGGTAGGTGAGATATTAATTCAAAAGGGGATGACCTTTTGGCTGCTTCATTGGGACAAAGGGTATCAAAAGGTTATGAGGTTTGTGGGGGGGAAAGCATGGCAGTTTGCTGCAGGTGCTTTTTTCCCCACAGCTTAGCTCGCTTCTCTTTCAGTTACCAATATTTCAAGAAGAGTGGTTCTCATAAATCAGTTTAGTTGTACTATATAGTTTAAGGGATCATATCGCATCATGTGGAAATGCCGAGACTTCCCATGGAAACAGTACAGCCACACTGCATATTTATTGCTACACAATTACTAATATTTTTTATTAAAAAAATCCATTTTTGAAGGTTGCTTGAAAATACATTACTACCTATTTCTTAATATATTTTTTATTCCATTGGGTAAGGGGAAACCAGGGCATCATCATCTATCAGATCTATTTTGCTTATTCTTTGTAGCAAGAAAAAGAAGAAGGTAAAGTCAGACTTTGGGGAGCACCATTTCCATAATAGAAATATTAAGTTTACTTTTACTTGCAGCAGTCTTTCAATAACACCTATGTATGGGGATAATTATCTCAGTCAATTCAAGAGAACAATTGGCCAGACCACAAATTAGAAGGACAGAAAAAAGGCAATTATTTATAGCTCTATGGTGGGAAACAATGAGGAATATTATACATTACTATGCACAATATATTAGTCTGGATAGTACAAGCCCACCTAAAGTCCTAAAGAATAGAACCTATGTTCTGCATCAGAAGAAATTGGCTGACATTACTGTTTCCAAAGTGAAAAAAATAGAATATATCTGCTGCCTGCAGACAATACTCCCATCTGAATTATGGTTCACAGTGCAAACTATGGCAACTTTCAAGATCAAGTACTTACTTTCCTCACTTCTTGTGATGAAGAAAAAGGAATTAGCAGCTTCTAATTCTAGATAGCATTGCACTGTCATTACTATATAAGTGACAGACAGCTGGGTGGCTATTTAACTTGAATAACTTAACGTCATAACATAACATGCCATTAAGTTGAATTAGAAACATCTGAGCTCTTCTCCTTGATTCCAGAAGGTGAGAAAATAATATTTAATCCCAGAACTCCAAACCTTATCTTTGAGTACTGTCTCAAAGCAAACACCACTTGTAAAAATTATACAGTACACTGGAATTGGCTCAGCCAATACAATAAACATACCATTTTTATTACCACTTGGTAATAAAACTATTTTGATTACCACTTAGACTGCAACTGGGTTAACCAACATGCTCAGCTTCTGGGACCAGCTTCAGTTATGTTGATGGGAGAGAAATCTAGAACTATAACCCCATAGTCCCGTTTTCTGGGACTCTGCGAGGCTTGTTACTCTCTCTTGTTACTTTAATAGTTATATGAAGTCATGGGGCAAGATCATTGATGGCACCAAGTGAGGTAACACCAGTATGCACATATTACCCAGTTTTATATCTCCACTCTACTCAAACTAAGCTGTGTCCTGGTGTCTGGAGACTATGGGAGTCTAGATGGGGACTCAGTGGCTCTGGATTTTAGACCCTCCAGGTTCAAGGGATTTTCCACTGTTGGTTCTGAACATGATTATACTTCTCTGAACAGAACCTGTGCACAATCTGGCAGTCCTTCTGAATTCAGGGCTTATATTTGAAAAACAGATGATAGCCGTAGCCAGGAGGGCTTCTGCAGAGTTTCATATTGTATACCAACTGTGTCCATTTCTTGAACCAAGACACTCTGCTGCAAGTCACTTGCAGAAAGAAAGCCTTTTCTATTGTGGTGCCCATTCTTTGGAATATCATCCCCCTGGAGATTAGCCAAGTCCCAACCCTGCGGCTTTTCATACAGTTCTGAAGCTCCAGTAATACCGCCAGCATGCCTAAGTGCTTGTGTTCGGGAGAATCTGATGGGATAAAAAATACCAAGAACTAGATTTTAAAAGGTGAATGGGAAGGAGAAGAGAGAAAAGAGATACAGCTTTAACCTAAATGCCAAAAAGATGCTGTGTTGGGAACTCAAGAATGTAATATTCAGGTGCAGAAGCCTTGCAGTTACTTACTCGGGTAAACTGATTATTCCCCAAAAGTGTTTCCAGAAGTAAGGGGAGCTCTCTTTCCAGATGCAGTTTGTGGCACAGCTCAGTCAGCTCCTCCTTGTCCAAATACCCAGTGCCTGTAGCATCACAGCTGTCATACACATCCTTGAGCTGAGAGGTATATCTGTTCTCTTCCTCACCCATCCCATAGTATATAGCACACAATCTAGGAGGAATGAACCAGCATTTTAGGATGGGTTATTTCTTGATCTTAAACATTATAATTGAAATATATGTACAATGTAACAGTCTACAAATAAAATCAGTCAATATGCACCTTCTGTAATATTATGAAACTCCAATTAAATATTTTAAAACTAACAACTTAAAGAGGTTTCTCATGCTTTTTTCTTATTCTTTAGAACAACTTTCCAAACCTTATGATCTACAAATATGATGGGTCAAAACCTCCTAGAGACACCAAGAACTCAAACAGAATTCTATTTTTCATTTCTCTTGCAAAATTAGACATTTCACTGAGTTTCTGTCTTCAGTTACAGATAGCGGTATTCCCCTGAAGCCAGAGATCAATCCCTAACAAGTGTTGCACAAGTGTTATGACCTTAGCCTGGAAAATTGCTTGCTCAGAACTGAGTTCAGCCTCATGAATTCACTCAACCTAAGACAGACCATTCATCGCTCTCTGTTCGATATCTACTCACTACTTAGCCTCTTGCAATTTCTCAACAAATGATTTTAAAAACAAATTAAATAGACGAAACATTTTCAGCAAGTTGATCTGGACCTGAATAAACTCCATGAACGTGCTCAAACACTAATGAAATTAATATAAACGTAAGGAATTGTCTTACACCAAGATCATTGGTTGATCCAACTAAGTATTGTATCTACAAGGACTGACGGCACTTTATTATGGCTTCATACAAATCCTGGGTGCCAGCATGGAAGCTTTTGCACATAAACTTGCACTTTGCCACTCAGCTATTTTCCTTCTCCTGATCCGCCTCTAGCAATCTTCCAGCATTAAAACAACTTTATTGAGTTCCACTGCTGCACGTTACAGAAATAATTTAGGGCAGTGGTGGCAAACCTATGGCACGCGTGCCCTCGCCCCAGTACTAGGCCTTCAGCTGGGTTTTATAAAACCTTTTCGCTTTAGGCTTCCGCCGCCATGTGAAAAAAAAAAAAAGGTTCAATCAGTCAATTTCAACTTCTTGCAGGAAAAAAAAGATCTTGCAAAGTTGGAATTGATTGAACTTTTTAGTCCCACCCAGTCTGCTGTTACCACCACAGCCACGCCCACCCAATGGGCCATGCCCACCCAATGGGCCACACCTACCCAATGGACCACACCCACCCGGCTCTCAACGATGCATAAGTGGATTTTGGGTTGCAGTTTGGGCACTCGGTCTCTAAAAGGTTTGCCATCATTGATTTAGGGTAATCCTTTTTATCTAGTGGATGGGCTAATACATCATATTAATCTATAAAGGTGAGTTTGGGGGAAAGATAATGTGCAAATTCAGTCAATGGGATCCTCCTTCACTTTCTCTGTCACCATATCTTAAAATCTTTTGAAGCTGTGAATAAAAGATTAAAATTAATGTAAATAGTGAAATTTAAATGACACAACAGATAAAAATATTCTCCAGTTCACAGCTTAGAATTAATTCAGATTATAGTGGGATATATATTGTAAATAAAACCCAGAAAATATATTCACAATATTCAACTTGAACATTAACCAGACAGAAACAGTGAAGACAGAAGATTTTAACAATTGCTTAAAGTTTATCAACGTTAAAACTCTCCCCGCAACAAGGGACGTTGATCCAGTGGCCCCTTCCCAGAAGCCCCTCCTGAGTAATCTTGTATTAAGGATTATTTAGTTAGGCATTGTACTTAATGGAGGAATATATAAATGTACAAGGCTGCCTCCCCCAATAAATAAATAAATGGCTGAACTAATGTGAATTACAAAATCCAACTGTGTCAAAACTCAGACTAGGTTGACTTATTAAAAGAAAACTCAGTCTTGCAATCTTTTGATATACCAAAGGAAAATAAAAGATTGGATGGGGAAGCAAATATAGGAGAATCAATACAAAAGAATTTAACATTATTCTAACTGAAATAATGAGAGCTGGTCTCTTATTATGGCTGTCATGAGTAACTCCCACATATGATCAGTTTGCTGATCTTTGAGATTTTATGTTATTTTAGACCAGTGGTTCTCAACCTGTGGGTCAGGACCCCATTTGGGGTTGAATGACCATTTCACGGGGGGTCGCCAAACAACACAGTCCGCCATTTTTTTCCCCTTTTCCTTAGCTGTGCTACTCCCTTTTATTCTATTGGCTTTTGAAAACCAATAGAATAGACTCTCTTGAATAGAGTCTAATTCTATTGGCTTTCAAAAGCCAATAGGAATTGTCCAGGCTGTCTCTGCCCTGCTGAACCCGCCAAAAGTCCCATTCTGCAAACGGTGCTGCAAGTTGTTTGCAGCGAAGGCGAGCTGTCTGGAAGTTTCCACCCCTCCCTGCTGAGCAACTACTAAAAATGTAAGTAAAAGAGGGCCAGGGGTGGGAGGTGGGAGGCCGGCGGGCGCAGGGAGGGTTGCTGGCGCACGTGGGGTCCGGCAGGTGCCTTACCTCCCTTGGACTGGGCCAGCTGGTGGCCCAGCCGGTGGTCGGCCTGCGCCGTCTCTGCCGCTTGCCAGCTACACCTCAGCCGGTGCAGGGGGTGGCACCGCGCATGCGCGGCGCTCCCGGGCAGAGAAAGTCCTCAACTTACGACCGGTTGGATAGTCCTCGATTTACGACCGGTTGGGTAGTCCTCGACTTACGACCGGTTGGGGTCACGCATTAAAAAGGTTGAGAACCACTGTTTTAGATGTTTGGGGCAACTGGTTCAGTCCAAATATAGCAGTGCATAAATTACATTGTAATAAAAGAGATCATTAGTAGATCAATTCTTTTTTTTAAAAAAACTGAAGTGTCTTCTACTCCAAAGCCTTTTAGGATTGAAGTATCAATTTCTTTTAATTTGTAATGTAACTATTTCTTTCCAGAAATATAACCAAGAAAAACATGAATGAAAAAATGGAAAACTGTATCAGTCCATAGCCCCCAAAATCCTCAAAGCTCATCCAAGCAGATTTTCATCTGATAGAGAAAAAAGGTTGACTCAAAAGTATTCTTGGCAGTACAACAGTTGTACTAATGCTAGAAGGCATATTAAAAATGCCTGAATAAGCATTTCTACCACATAAATGCTTATGACACACTTCTTTCAATGTTTTAGGGCCAAACCACAGGCTATCATTTATCTCTTATTTCATTTGGGCCCAGGTTTCCAGCTGCTGGCTGCTTTTTTTTAATCCCGAAGATCTAAGAAAAGCAAAGTAAGAGTCATGCAGAATCAAGTCAGGTTCTAAAACAGGCATGTGCAAACTGTGGCCCTCATGCAGCCCTGGATAGCTAGTAATGCGGCCACACAAGATCGTAAACTTTTAACATTATTATGTGATTTTTAGCAATATATATATGTGTGTATAACAAATAAAAGAAAAAAAAACAACCAGTGGAGACAAAGACAGTTTGCCTGATGCAGAACAACTCGGTGCGATAAGGATTAACACAATCAATGGGTCGATGACTGCTCAAGGAGCCGGGCGCAGAAGCAGGAGGCTATATGAGCTGCCTTCCCAATCTCCTGCTATTCTAACTCTGATGACTCAGGCAGTTTTTTGGCCGGACAAAAGCTCAGTAACTCTTCTTAACCACAGACTTGTTTATATTAAACAGGCTGGTTTATTATATCCTGGTGTTCATTTTTTCTTTTATTTGTTAGCATAATGCTCAGGATTCGAATTTTTAGTATTTTAAAAGACAATATGTGTGTATATATATTAATTATATTATATATATTATATGTGGCCCAAGACAATTCCTCTTCACCCAATTCAGCCCAGGCAAGCCAAAGGTTGGACACCATGTTTTAAAAGGTATTCAAGTTTTTCCATAGTTTTGAAGTTCAGATTCCTAGGTGTAAATTTAGATACAATTAAAATAGTTTCCTTCAAATAGAGCTTGATTTCTGATTACTTATATAATTGAACCTCTGTGTAGAAATGCACAAGGCAACTCAAATGTACAAAATTTTACAAATTGCCCTTAATCTAGTGTCGTCCAAATAATGGGAGATAACTGAAGTTGAAATCTAAACATCTAGAGCAGGAGTCCCCAATTTATGGTCCATGCCAGCAACCAGTCTACACAAACAAAGCCCCATTCACGAGATGCAGGCAGCATGCAAAATCACGCCCTCTCTGGTCCGTGGAAAAACTTCTTTCTACGGAACTGGCCTCTGGTGCCCAAAAGATTGGGGGGCCCAGAACTAGAGGGCAACAGACTGTATTGTAGAGGTGGTTCTTGACTTACAACCAGTCATTTAGCAATAGTTCAAAGTTATGACAGACTTCCCTCAGGGTACTTATGACCCTGATTTGAAATTCTGATGTCCCCTCCCCCATAGTCATATGATCACATTTTGGGTGCTCAGCAACCAGCCTGTATTTACAGCTGTTTTCAGTGTCCAACAATCAAATAACCAGAATTTTTGATGTTTTTAATAGGAAATTAGCATTTACTTCTGGTTTCTGGCAAAAAATGCCTATTGCAAACAATGTTCACTTAAGAACTGACACATTAGTTTAACAACCGTTGCAGTGAAGGTCATAAAATCAGGTACAGTCACATGATGACCCACTTACAACCAATATGATTTACAACTGTAATTCCAGGCTCAATTACGGTCATATATCAAGGAGTACTTGTATGTACTATTTCTTAAAAAAGAGATCTGAAGCATCCACACTTGGCTTCTATTGTGATAAAGCTGTGGTAAGTGGACCATTAATCTAACCAATTGAAAATATTTTTTGCATTTCTAAAAATACCATCGTCAAACTGCAATAATTTCCTTGAGTTCTAATACGTTCTCATACAATATTATATAGAGGATGAAATAGTCTCCAGTTTGTTTTCTTGATTAGTGAAGAAGAATGTCTTGGATTATGAAAAAAATTAATGAAAGATGGCCTTGCATTTATTTAGCACACACAACACAACTATTTATATGCAGGCTTCTTCAGGCAGAAACTACTCCTGCTTTGGTGAAGTCAACCTGTTCCTGCAAGATGCCACAGTTGCTTTAGCAAATTGGCAGCAGTGGCCAAGACGAAATATTAGTTAGTATTAAGAACTATAGGATCAGTACAAATTGTTAACCAGCAAGAAAGCATTTAGATTTTTGACACTAATCCCCAAATGAGGTTTCTGCTGAGGGAATAATATAAAAGGTGATGGGACAAATATTCCAACTGTCAGTTCCTTATTAAAATATCTGAGAGTATCAACAGGCTGAACTGGAGCTCAATCAAACAAACTGGCTTTCCACCTGAAACAATTTCAGATTATATTTGCACATCAGTTTTTCTGGTTTTACACAGACCCTTCAGTTATTCCATCACCCATTAAGCTTTCTCCAATTCCATTCTAATTAACCTCCTAAGAAAATATTGTTGCCTCCTTAAGTTATATAGTCATAATAAACAGATTTTCCTATTCAACTTTCCCATGTGTTTGACAAATGATAACCTACCCTTTATTGATAATACCTTTATCCTTAGTACCATATAATTCCACTACTAAAGATCCTGATTTCACATATTGTTGGGAACATGAACCACCCCATCCCTAAAATGTTGTGTAATTATTATTGTTACATTTGTATTCTGCCTTTATTTATAAATAATTTAAGACAGAAAACATAAGTAATATTTCTTCCTATTTTCCCCATAACTCTGAGATGGTTGGGCTGAGGAAGAATGGCTGGCCCATGGTCACCCAGCTGCTTTCATGACTAAGGCAGGATTTAAACTCATGGTATTCTGCTTTCCCTAACCACTACTCCAAACTGGCTAAAACTCTTTAGGGATTCTAGACTTAAGTTTACTGTTTTATTAGTCCTTTGTTTTGAACTTTTTACAATATTGCATTTCATGTCTATTGGAATTTTTATTTATTTAATACCTGGCTCTTAAAGATGTTTTCCCCTTTGCCAAACAATGTACCTTTTCATACATTACAAATCTTCTGGCAAGATGTGTGTTATATTGTCCATTATTTAGTATAATGTTTCTGAACCTCAGCAGCTTTAAGATATGTAGACTTCAAATCCCAGTTGAATTTTGATAGTTGAAGTCCATACATTGACATAGTAATATTAAGTGCTAAATACCTTTTTTGTAAATCAATCTATTTTCCAAGCAAAGATGTAGGGAGACATTTCTAGTTCTGGAAGCTTCCAAACATCTCTTCCGAGTCTGTTATGGGACTGCATGGGATAACATTCTTAGAATAGAATAGAGCTGGAAGGGACCTTGGAGGTCTTCTAGTCCAGCCCCCTGCTCAAGCAGGAGGACCTATACCATCTCAGATAAGTGATTCTCTAGCCTCATCTTAAAAATCTCCAGCAAGCTGTTCCACTGGTTAATTGTCCTCACTGTCAGGAAGTTTCTCCTTAATTCCAGGTTGCTTCTCTCTTTGATCAGTTTCTTGTCCTGCCCTCTGATGCTTTGGTGAATAATGTGACCCCCTCTTCTTGGTGGCAGCCCCTCAAATACTGGAATACTGCTATCATGTCTCTCCGATTTCTTCTTTTCTTTAAACTAGCTAAACCCAAATCCTGCAGCAGTTCTTTGTATGTTTTAGTCTCCAGGCCTTTGATTGTTTTAGTTGTTCTTCTCTGAACTTTTTCCAAGGTCTCAACATCTTTTTTGTAGTATGGTGACCGAAATTGGTTGCAGTATTCCAAGTGTGGTCTTACTAGGGTTTTATAAAACGGTACCGTATATGCCGGTGTATAAGACGACTTCCGGAAGTGCTAAACTCGGCGCCAAAGATGGGGGTCATCTTATACGCCGAGTCGTCTTATACGCCGGAAATACTGGTAGTTTCCGGTGTATAAGACGACGTTCTAGGAATGCGGCTCGGCGATAAAGACGGGGGTCATCTTATATGCCGGGTCGCCTAATACACCGGCATATACGGTACTAATAGTTCATGTGATCTTGATTCTATACCTCTGTTTATACAACATAGGATTGTATTAGCTTTTTTGGCTGCTGCTGCACACTGCTGGCTCATAGTCAAGTGATCATCCACTAGGACTCCAGGGTCCCTCTCATAATTACTGTTTTTAAGCCAGGTCTCGCCCAATCTGTACTTGTACCTTTGATTTTTCCTGCCTAAATGTAAAACTTTGCTTTTCTCCAAATTGAAATTCATTTTGTTGGATAGGACCCATTGTTCAAGTTTGTCAACATCTTTTTGGATCCTGAGTTTGTCTTCTAGTGTGTTGGCTACACCTGCCAGTTTGGTGTCATCTGCAACTTTGATGAGTTCCCCTTCAATTCCCTCATCTAAGTCATTGAGGAAGATATTGAAGAGTACTAGGCCTAAGACGGAACCTTGTGGTACCCCACTGCTTACTTCTCTCCATGAAGATGTAGTGCCATTGAAGACCACTTGTTGAGTACAGTTTGCCAGCCAGCTACAGATCCATCTGATGGTGATATTGTCTATTCCATCTTTTTCTACCGTAGCTTACCAAGTAGTAGGTTGTGGTCTACTTTATCAAATACCTTACTGAAATCTAAATATACTACGTCCACAGCAATTCACTGGTCTACTAGTTTAATCACTTTATCAAAAAATGAAATAAGATTGGTTTGGCATCATCTGCTTTTAACAAACTCGTGCTGTCTACTAGTTATAACTTTGTTTATATAATTTATAACAAAGTTATGTTGAAAACTGTACAGGAGATTAAATATATATCAATGCAAACAAGTAATAATATAGTTTGTTGCAAAACTGATGTTTATTCTTTGAGAATTTAAGTACCAATAGTTTAGGGCAGCTATCTAAGTGTGTTTGTAAAACTTTAATTTGGTTTAAATCTTAAGTTCTTCAGCACAAATGTTTTGTGGGTAATAGCTTCTCTCTCTTTTAGTGATTATTATGGACTAATGTCTGATGGAAGAGGTAGCAATGATTTCCTTTTATTTGGTTTCTCTAAACAAAGGAAAGCCTAACGAGCATTTCATAGCTGCAATATTATTCCCTTACTTTAAAACTTTCGGGGCAACCAAAAATTTCAGGAATCTTCATAAAGCAAATGTCTCTGCTGAATGTTTTTCTGCAGTTTATGCAGCATAAACGGCTGCAGTTAACCATCTGATAACAGATAAAGGGAAGCAGCCCCCGATACGTTAAAGGAAGGTAATTCAGACTTAAGTTAGAATTCATGTCAAAATATGCTAAAAGCAAGTCACTGAAAAAAGAAAAACAGAAAGTAGTCTCCATGTCCGATCTGGAAAGTCTGGTTTTAAAACAATGAATAAGCCAGTTTTTATCGTAAAATAAAAAGTTTGAAGACGTGAAACCATAAGTAAAGCAAAAGCGGTGTTTTCCTATGTAGACGAAAACAAGCGGCACAGACATACACACAGCCAAACCAAATTGCCCGCAAGGGGAATTAAACTATTTCCTCTGAGGCCAGTGTTTTTCATACTTCACTTTCATTCTCCAGTTAAGGAGAAATATTCGGATCCACCAAAGGCCGGCACCGCGCAACACACCTACTTTCTTCGGGGTCCTTTACTAGCCAAGCAGCATCGCCACCGCGCAGGCACCTCTGAAGAAAACTCACCCGCTGCGCTCCCAGCCTCTTTGTCTCCCGGGAGTCTGAATACCAGCGTGCACTCCGTTTCTCTCCTCAGGCGCCCCTCCCCTGGCGGCGCTAAAGGAAGCAGCCACCGGCTCGCAGGCGCTTCGGTCTCGCTGCCAGTTTTCCCAGCCTCCTTCCAACGCCTAGCCAGTTACAGCTTTCTCGCCCTCCTCTCAAGCGGGTACCTCTTGGCAACTGCTGCACGTTACCAGGAAGCGGCGAACTGGGCTCCAAACGGGTCTTCGGTTTCTGCTGTTTCAAATAGCGAAAACGGAGCGCAGCCGGGGTACCGTAGGAAAATTCCCCGAGATGGCTTTGGCTGCAGAAATGAGGGTGCTGCCCGGTAACATACACGCAATTAATATTTTCGTGTGGCGGAAGGAAAGGCCGATATACCATTTACATAGAAGGAAAATATTCCCTATTCGATATGGCTTATTCCATACTGGATTTGTGAGAGTGTTGCCTTGACATTTCTTTCGATCTGGCAGGTCAGTTTTTCCCCAGCTAGTGTTCTTCAGCCGTTTTGGATTCCAACTACCATGGTTGTTGAGAATAATAGGATCAGTCGTAAATAGCCCAACTCATTTGGAGGGCAGTGGGATGGGAAAGGAGGCTTTAACTTGTCTTAACATGTTAATGTAAAATGGAAATACTTGTAAGTTAAAGCCAACTTAACTTACAAGTTAACTTAACTTACAAGTTAACTTATCTTCTTTGTCACCTCCTATGCATGTGAAAAGCACTAAGATGACCCTTCTCAGCTTCCTCTTCAGAAGGCCAATACATGGAGTTCCTTCACACGCCATTGCAGATTCTAGTCCTCTGTTCATCCTCATTGCCCTTTTCTGAACTTGTTCCATTTTTTGGGAAAGCATATTAAGGTATAGTGCCAGAACTGAATGCAGTGAGGGGCTCTGATCAATGCAGAATAAAGTCAAACTTTACTCCCCCCCCCCATTCATTTACATTGTCTCTGTTCATACAGCTTAAAATTGGATTGCTTGGTTTTGCAGCCATATCACAAAGCTACCGTAATTTAAATTCATATTTGTATTTACTGGTATATGTCAACTACCATTCCAAGATCTTTTTCATAAGTATTGATTCCAGGCCGGGGACTCCCAGTGCTTTTAATTTCTCATTCCGTAGTGTACATATTTGTTTTCATCCTATTTTATCTAACCTATGAAGACAATTTTGTGCTTTTCCTTTTCTTCTGAAGCATTAACTCTTCATAAGTTTTGGTGTCATTTGCAAATTATAACCTTTTCTTTCTTAGACATAAAAATCTGATGGTACAGGGATTACTCATGTGGAATTTCATCTGATATTTCATTCCAATTTTATTTATTTTTATCCTGCCCTTATTATTTTTACAAATAACTCAAGGTAGCAAACATATCCAACATACCTTCCTCCTCGTATTTTCCCCACAACAACAGCCCTATGAGGTGGATTGAGCTGAGAGTAACTGGCGCAAAGTAATCCAGCAGGTTTTCCTGACTAAGATGAGACTTGAACTCAGTCTCCCAGTTTCTAGCCTGCTGCCTTAACCACTAAACCAAACTGGCTCTTGATGAGAATTTGATGAGAACATGGCACACGCTGGGGGGAAAATAATGAAAGTTGAGGTCCAATACATCTCAAACATACTGTATTGGGCTAGGCTACAACAAACACACATCCAATAGTATATAAAGGGCAGCAGAATCAAACAGTGAGCTCTGCTCCTACCATATTTCATAACACTTGTCAAAAAGGGGTGGAACTTATTATTTCTGCTGCTTTTGTCATTCCTCCCCCATAGCATTTACATGGATATCATATTAGATGAGACATTGTGATCTAAGAGTAATTGGATTTGCACCTAGGTTATGCTAAGAAGAGGTTGTCTAGTTTGTGGTTCAGTTGCTATCAATGGTCAGTTTCTGATTCTGTGTATGATACAAATTGAAAAACCAGGATGCTGAGTTTTAGTTCTGTTTTAGGCATGAAAAGTGGCTGGGTAACTTTGGGCCAGTCATTCTCTCTCTCAACTCACCTCACCTCATAAAGTTATTATTGTGAGGAAAATAGGAGAATAAGGGTATGTTTGCTACCTTTAGCTGTTCATAAAAATAATAAAGGTGGGATTTTAAAATCTAAAAAAAGGAAAAAAAATGGTTCAGATAGCCATAAATCTAAGTGATCCCAGTTCCTAGTTATCATTTCTCAGCACATCTTGTATGTAAATGAATTGTGTAAAAACGTGATTACTTTGGGGAGATTTTTTTATGTGTAGATTATTTTATTCAAATATGTTTCTATTTTTTATATTTCTGATGCTTATTCTTAATTCAGTTTTAGAAAATAGTATTTTAATTATTTTAATTTAAAACCATTGAGATCCATAGGTGCTCAATTTTATTTGCGTTTTAATAAATACAATTTTAAAAATGCCTGCATAGTTCTATTGCTAGATAGATAAGGCAGTATGCATGTTTATCCAGAAAAATGTGAGGGAATCTCAGACTCTTAAGGAAAGTCAGTTTCTGATTAGCAATATTACAATCACGTTTGTCATGCAATAAGCAGATGTTTTCGTATAGTTTACCAATGTGCAATAGTGAGATTACTAGATTCAAAAATATGGTTTTAAAGTGCCTTTTTCATTAATTCCTTGTATACTATTTTTCTTATTTTAAGAAGTTTCGGATATGGTTATATATATATTTCTACATCTACTTTTCTCAGTACCTAACATAAAGTAAGGCTTTCATTAAAAAAGACAAACTTTCTTTGAGCAAGAAACAATACTCTTCTGGCAGTTTAAAATATATCAGATTCATTAGGGCACAAACTTTAAAAATAGTAATTGGAGCCGCTGCTCTTTAACTATATGCTCACTAAACCCACGTTGCACTTTCAATTGCTTTCAATACTGTAGACCAGGTATCTTCAAACTTGGCTCTTTTATGACTTGTGAACTTCAATTCCCAGAATTCCTCAGCAGGTCACGCTGGCTGAGGAATTCTGGGAGTTGAAGTCCACAAGTCATAAAAGCCAAGTTTGAAGACCCCTGCTGTAGACGGCTCTCATTTCCGCTCTGGAGTGGAAAAAAGTAGAATGGTACTAAACAGTCTAAGACAGACTCTACTATTCTATTCTAAGATAACGAGCGTAGAGCTTCGTTCAGCGTCCCTCTGTGCGTCATGGGGGCGCGTCGGAAGAGAGGTAAGAGCGCATGCGCCTCTTCGCGGTTGTCTCGCAGGAATTACGTAGAGCGGGCATTTCGGCACGTTGAACGTTCTTAGTAGAGGCGGGCGTCCGGCGGTGTTGTGTGGTGGCCAGGGCCTAGAAGTGAAGCGATGTCGGGGACTACGGGAGGTGTGACGGGCTCAGCTCGGAAGCGGCTGTTGAAGGAGGAGGACATGACAAAGGTGGAATTCGAGACCAGCGAAGAGGTGGACGTCACCCCCACTTTCGATACCATGGGCCTACGGGAGGACCTGCTGCGCGGCATCTACGCCTACGGTGAGGGGGGGGGGCTGGAGGGATGGGTTGAGAAAGGGGAAACGGAGTTAATTCTGTGGCCGCACAACTTCAGAAAGCGGCAATGAAGCGAAGGAGGATCAAGAACGACAAAGAACAGGAGAGCTTTCCAGCTGCTTTTCCGTTTCCCCCGCCTTCTCTAGCCCTGTTCACTCGTCCCTTATTCCAGGATAGCTGGGCCTTAAATGTAGTCGCTATGAAATGGAGCAAGGAAGGGTCAGTGTCGGACTTGGATTATGGGCTTCCCTCTGGTATTTGTTGACCATTTTTATGGAAACCTGTTGATGGCATTTCTAAATAATCCCCGAGCAATCTGCAGATGTTTGAAGCCCTGTTTGCAATTCTCGCTTCCGATTCTGTCCTTCTGTTTTAAAGAAGGGTGTTTGTTGAAGTGAGAGGTAATGAGATTTGTAGTTTTAACTTTTGCGAACACATTAACATTTTTGGGTAAATTCCCAAGTGGGTGGAAGTTTTGTTATGTTACATGAATCTAGAGATCAGTTAATTTCCATATTATTACCCAAATAAACCTGTAATACATAGGGTAAATGTTACTTTGTCAAGCACTGATGTATGAACCCAAAAAGAGAAAGTCATCTTCCTCCAGGCCTTGGGGATATAGCATTGGAGCCTAAGGCAGTTGTTCAGGAATGGCTCTCTTCTAGGCAGTATACTTTGCTTTAAAAAAAAGAAAGAAAGAAAGAAAGAAATTCTGACACACACACTCAACATGGGTAATAAATGTCAACTGCAAAAAAGACAGGAAAACCAGCAGAGATGATTCCTGCTGCTATAATTGGAATAGATCCTTTGGTCATTTCTGTAGAATCACTAGATAAGTTATTTATTCAAGAGCAGTAACAAATTTATTTAGATTATATGAATGCAGCCTTAGAGCTGTATTACTTTTGATTCTGGCCGTAGCTACCTAATGATATCCTAAAATAAAGTAGCCCCCCCCTATTAGATTCAGGCCCTAATGTTACTAAAAATTATTTAAAATAAGAGTTAGGAAGCCTGTTTATTTGCTTATTTTGAATAATGTGTGTTAATTCTAGTTTTCATTGCATTTCTTCATTGTTTACTATAATACTTAAGTCAGTTTTGATAGTTTAGTTTGTAGAGGAAAAATCTAAATTGTAATCTAAAAACAATTGTTTTTCTAGGTTTTGAGAAACCTTCAGCTATCCAGCAGAGAGCAATTAAACAGATAATTAAAGGAAGAGATGTGATTGCTCAGTAAGTGGAATTATATTCTAAAAGGAAAGTTTGAAGAGTATGGTTTGTGATATTATCTCGATAGTTAAAAATAAATTGTTCTTGATGTTTCTTACTCATAAATATTAAGCAATGAGTTCTTTGGAAGCAGAGATCCAACATACGTTTAATAGTATAATTCTAATCAAAAGTAGTCCTAAATTTCATGGAACTTGACTTTTCAGAAGTATATATACTGCAATTTCACAGTCATTTAGATTTTTAAATGGTAATATATAACATCCATTAATATGATTAATCATATACAAAATTCGTTGCAAAATTTAGGCTTAAATTGAAAAAGGTAGGGAAAAGCACTAGGCCACTCAGGTATGAACTAAATCATATTCCTGATGAATATACAATAGAGGTGACAAATAGATTTAAGGAATTAGATCTGATAGACAGAGTACCTGAAGAACTATGGATGGAAGTTCGCAACATTGTACAAGAGGTAGCAACTAAAACCATCCCAAAGAAAAAGAAATGCAAGAAAGCAAAATGGCTGTCTGAGGAAGCTTTGCAAATAGCTGAGGAAAGAAGGGAAGCGAAAGGCAAAGGAGAAAGAAGAAAGATACACCCAATTGAATGCAGAATTCCAGAGAGTAGCTAGAAGAGATAAGAATGCCTTCTTAAATGAACAGTGCAAAGAAATAGAAGAAAACAACAGAATAGGGAGGACCAGAGATCTCTTCAAGAAAATTGGAGATATGAAGGGAACGTTTCATGCAAAGATGGGCATGATAAAGGACCAAAATGGCAGAGACCTAACAGAGGCAGAAGAGATTAAGAAGAGATGGCAAAACTACACAGAAGAACTATACAAGAATGAGCTTAACATCCCAGATAACCACAATGAGATGGCCACTGACCTCGAACCAGACATCCTAGAATGTGAAGTGAAATGGGCCTTAGAAAATCTGAGCAACAACAAAGCTAGTGGAGGTGACAGTATTCCAGCTGAGCTATTCAAAATCTTAAAAGACGATGCAGTAAAAGTGCTACACTCAATTTGCCAGCAAATTTGGAAAACTCAACAGTGGCCACAGGATTGGAAAAGGTCAGTTTACATTCCAATTCCAAAGAAAGGCAATGCCAAAGAATGTTCAAACTATCGCACCATTGCACTCATTTCACATGCTAGTAAAGTTATGCTTAAAATCCTACAAGCTAGACTTCAGCAGTATGTGGATCGAGAACTACCAGAAGTACAGGCAGGATTTCGAAGAGGCAGAGGAACTAGAGATCAAATTGCCAACATACGCTGGATCATGGAGAAAGCTAGGGAGTTCCAGAAAAACATCTACTTCTGCTTCATTGACTATGCAAAAGCCTTTGATTGTGTGGATCACAACAAATTGTGGCAAGTTCTTAAAGAGATGGGAGTACCAGACCATCTCATTTGTCTCTTGAGAAACCTATATGCGGGTCAAGAAGCAACAGTGAGAACTGGACACGGAACCACTGATTGGTTCAAAATTGGAAAAGGAGTCCGGCAAGGCTGTATACTGTCGCCCTGCCTATTTAA